ATACTTTAAATAATTTATTTACATTCATTAATCTTCCTAAATAAGTTAAGTAAGTTACATATTAAAGATTAGAGGTAGTTTACAAATACCATTTGGAGGTTTTGTGGAGAAACTTTCTTATGGATACACGGATAGAGTGACTAGCATTTAGATTGCATTATTTTAGGCATTAATATTAGGACATTAATAGATATTAATATTCCAATTATGAGATATATCATGCATTTAACTTTTCACCATTCTCCCTCCTACAATACGTGGCCACGTTAATGGCCTTGAAAATAATTTTAACCCAGCCCAATTCATCTTCTGGGACCCATTTTTAAGTAAATTGAGTATTACAAGATTTTAAAAGGGAGTTTGGGAATCCCTAGAAGTACTTAAAATAGTACTTTCACATAAATTAAGACAAAACTCATCTCACATATTCACTTCGTATATTGTAAATTCACTTTTAAGAAGCTAATCCAGACATACATAAAAATGAAAAAAGATAACAAAATAACCTGAAAGTTGTTAAAAGACAAATTAGTGTAGATGAATTTCAAAATCTCAATTCAAACCCCTTGCACTATGTTGGAATTTTCAAATCTTGCCAAATTACACAAATTCCCTTCACTGTTTTTTTATTGCAATATTGCCACCTTAGCAATTTTAACCGATTTTTGGCCGTTGGAGATTTGACGTCGCGACTCTATTAGTGACCAACAGCCGAAGCTCTAGGGTCGTTAGAGTTCCGATGACTATTCTTTCTTAGCTATTGACTACATTTGTTTTTAAAACCGTGATGACTACTCTTGTTTAACTACTGATTACTCTAGTATTATGATTGATTACTTTCATTTTTAAAACTTTGGTGACTAATCTTGTTAGTGTTAACTCCAAAAAATTCATATCTTTTTATCACATTTTCCTCCTTAACTTCCTGTTTTAAGAGTTAAATTGTGCATAGAAATAGAGCCATTAAGGAAAATGTGTTTAGTTTAGCTTTTTGGAACACTCTTGAGATAATTGTAATTAGTTGGAGTTGTTTAGAACTTACACATTTCTCATTTAAGTAGGAGAATGGAGACCAGCCTTTTCAAGCTATGTAAGACACCTTTGAACAATAGATTAGCTAGCAGGAAGCATGGAAGAGCTCTAAAGACTTATGTAGAAAACTCTCATTTTTCAGTACATTCGCTGTTGGTTCACCATAGCCACTGCTACAGCGAACGCAAGGAAAATGCAGCTCGAGAGGGGTGAAATTTATGGCTATTCATTGTTGGTTTGCCACAGCCAATCCACAGCGAATGAAGAAAATCTGCTACTGTGTGTTTCAATTATTGACGCGCTGTTAGGGTTAAATGGAAGGAAAAACATGATAGTTGGGCATTCTGGATTGTTGGGGCCATCTTGGGAGCTCTTTTGGTGTGCTAGGGCAAGGATTTTGGTGGAGATTGAGTTGGGATTTGAAGATTGGAAGAGATTTTGGCTTCTCATCTTGGTTTTTCTTCTCCATTCTCCTTTTCCTCTTGTTCAATGGTTGTGCTGAATATATGTATTTTCTCATGGGAGTTCTGAACATGTGTGGCTAAAGCTTTGATTCTAGGATTATTTTAAGCCCTTATATGGATTAACTCTTGATTCCTTCTCTCATTTTGTGATTAATGATATATATGTGTTTATTTTACCCCTTGCTTCATGCTTCTAAGCGCTTGATCACTGTTTAGATGTTTCGTTCATTTGAGTGATGCTTGAGAGAGCTAGCTTAAGTGTAGAACTTGGGTAAAATTGTGTAAGAACTTAAAATTTGCTTGCTGAATAGATGGTTTTGTTGGTAAGATAGAGATATACTTGCTAATCTTACATAGTCACCTTAGGATTAGAGCTTAAAATTGGGTTTTATTAATTGTAACAAGAGATTGAGCAATTAATGGAATTAAACACTTGTTCTTGACTTGAGAAAGCACAAGTACATTTTGAGTCCTAGACTAACGCATATTTTCATTAAAAGCTTTTATAAGAGGAGGTGAAATTGAATGTTACTAAATATAAGGGGAATAATAATCCTAGATCCCAATTTATCCTTAAAGTCTAAAAATCATTTGTTTTTATTAATTTTTTTATTTTTAAAAGTAGTTTTCTTCATTCTTGATATATTTCTATCACTCAAATTAAGTGAAAGTATGATAATTAATATTTGAGCAGGTTTTGAAACCAAATCCTCATGGGAACAATACTCTACTCATCATTTTATTACTTGTGAACAACTCGTGTACTTGCGGTGCGAACATTTAGCTATAGATTACTCTAGTTTTTCTATTGACTATTTTGTTTCCAAAATTCAAAAAATGCATTAAGTCTTGTTGGAGATGTAGTGACTACTTTTTGTTCAATTGTTTATTGTTCTTGTATGATCAATAGTTATACAAAAGTAGTCACCGGAACTTTGAAAATAAAAGTAGTCAATAATTAAATTAGAATAGTCAATAGCTATATAAAAGTGGTCACTGGGAGTAGGAACAATGTTATCATTTTATAATATTTTAAAATTTCAAAATAATACAAAAAGTCTAATTTGAGATTTTGGAATTCACTCACCTTAGTTTATTCTTTAGCATTTTTTGAGGGTGTTTAAGTGTCTTTTTCCCTATAAAAATTGATGCCATCAAGTCTTTCTTTTTACCAGTATATATATAAAATTTCTCCATGGCAGGAATTGCATTGTCTCTTGTCCGCGTCCATTAATCATTGTCTCTTGTCCGCGTCCATTAATCATGTTGAAGAAAACTCAATGTGAACAAAATTTTTGACATATCTTTTTAATATAAATATCGGATTAATTCTTAAATTTTTATACACACACACGTGTGTGTGTGTAAGTGAAAAGCATGTTGTTTTACTCTTCAAAAGGAAACTAAGCTAAAATGCAATATCATGATGTATAGCTTAGGTGGATCTATAAGGAGTGTTAAAATTTCTAGCTAATCCTCTGAGTTAATAAATTAACAATTAACAAATTACTCAATGTAAAGAAATATGTATTTATGATCTGGATTTCTAGCTGAATACTAACAGTACAGCCACTTTTTATAAATTTTTGGAGGTTCATGCAGAAAGAAATGAATCACAAGAACAGGAAATTTACGACAGAAAAGTTACCAGTAATGAGATAACAAGATGCTTCCCTGGAGATAGCTTTCGGCCTTCATAGCTCGTTACGGTATGGAGTTTTAAATGACGGAATCAAGAACCAACAACTCACTGATTCATTCAATGCTAAAACCACAACTCGAAGAACTAACATTGAACAAGAAATTATTAGAAGCTACACAATGGATTAATTCCTCTAGCAATTACATATACAAATTTTGCACCGTCTTAAAAATTAGTTGAACTAATTATTCCAGTAACCAACTCGGCTACAGAGAATGAAGCAAATTCACAATTTCAGAATTAGAAGAAGCAAATTCAACTTCAATTCACAATAATCCAGTGTCCATCAGCCACTTCGAAAGAATATTTCAGAGTTTTAGCTAAAAATCCACAAACAAATCCTAGATACATGAACTGAAATACACAACTTGCATAGATCAAATCATCATGAATCTAGCCTGGCCTAAAGCTCAAGAAAGAATCAAACTCCCCAACGAAGGTGCAGGAGCGCGGGCCTAGCTCATCTCCAAGGAAACAAAGAGTCTAGCATTGCATCTCTGATGGAAGAACAGTCACGGTAGAGATCGTGGAAGCCATGGAAGTTCAGAGAAAATTAAACACAGAATAAGGGCTTATCAATAAGTCTTCAAAAAGACTGCCAATTGTCAAAATAACGCTTGCCACATGCGTACATAAAAATTTTACTTCTATGGTGGAGAGCTAATTTATTTGGAGAATTTAACTATATAGAAATGAATATATCAGACATATATATTATGATGAAACATATGGTACAGATCAAGAGTATATGAACATTCATCTCCCTCCCAATCAGATTTAACACCATGCTAAGGGCTATAATGCGAATTTAATTAATATTATTATTTAAACATAAATAGATTCGATTTGATATTTATTCTTTCTTGGATGTAAATGTGCCATAAGTCTAACCATGCATTCTAGTCTTTTTTCCCATCCTTTCCATATAACCTTTAAATTTTAGGATACCGTGCACGTGTGTGTATGTCAGCGTCTTATTTTATGTGCACCAAAACCTGTAATGATAAACACAAAGCTATCTAGATAAGTCTCAAGATAAACTTTCTTGTAATGACCGATAAACCGGTAATAATATAAAAAGTTGGATTTTTTAGCCGAAAAAGAAAGAAGTTTAGAAAACAAGAAACAAACCTAAAAGACAAAAATGTTAAGGCACGCATTAAGAAATACTATCTTTGTTCCTCAATATAAGAGCTAGATAATTGATTTGAGAAAAGTGAGAAAATTAGTTAAGTTTATTATTGGTAACAAATATATGGTGACTTCTTTGTACTACTCTCTTTAATCATATTCATTGAAAGTACCTTTTGGTATGCACCTTACAATTAATAAAGATATTTTGAAAAACATATTATAAATTTAGTAGACAAAGTAGATTAAAGTCTTATATTCATAACCAAATTTAATTCTTAACTAGCTCTTATATTAAGGACATGAAGTAGTAATTTGAATATGCTTACCAGTTGTCTTCACAGATACGCCAATCGTTAGCATTTTAATTATCCCTTGCAATGACAAGTACTAAGCATATGATTGCCTTAAACCAGTAAAGTTTGTACTGGAACAGAAGGTATTGTCTTTTGATTTCTTCGCCGCTTCATCATTCTTTATTACAAACAATTTGTCTTTCGGTCTCTCTCAAAATATGTGTGTGTGTGTATAAAAGCAAATCAACAAGTGGTCTTGTGTCAATGATCTGCCAGACAAATTCATAGAGGTACACCCACACACACACATATAGGAAACACAGAGAGAGAGAGAGTGAGAGAGATCAGAGATTGAGATCGACATCAATTTATACTATGTATGTAACAAGGCCTCTTTCTGTATTCTTAAAGGACGAGGTTGCTCTGTCTCTTCCACCTCCGGAGGGACCAAACTCTGGTTATCTTGTAATCTCCGATAAAGAATCTGAGACTCTCTTGCGTTTGCGAAGAGATAAATACAGAATAAGGCGGCTTCCTTTCTTTCAAAACAAGGACTTCATCATTGATTCCCTTTATGCTGACACCCGCAACAATGTCCTCTTCGTTCCAGTTTTGGATCAGCCATTGTCTAACAATCGCTACTATGTGATGTTGAGAGACGGCTGGATGGATAGAGGGTATACATAATGAATCATTTTTCTCTATTTATCTGATTCATTTTTTCTGTTTATATTGGTACAATTGAAACCACAGCTCAACTGTATTATATTTGTTGCCCAACTCACAGTTTTGCTTAACTTTGAATTTGGCTTGGAAACTTCTAATTTAATGATTCGTCATCAAACTTTCACTGAATAAAGGGTCTTGTCATATTTTCTAACACTACCTTACCTCCTGTTCTTAATACAGTACTCGATAACTAATTTATAAATATTAAGAAAATTAGTTAAGTTAGCTATTTGTAATAAATGAATATTGTGTTTCTTAAAATGTTTTTTTGTTAATTATGTACATTAGAATATAAGCGCTTTAACATGTGTAATCAACATGGTCACTACTTGGGGGTAAAATGAATAAAGATGAGATATAAAATGGAATGGAGTCTTATATTTAGAATCAAATTGAATTTTCAACTAGTTCTTATATTTAGGACTAGAGATAGTAGTTTGATTATTTTATCCCTTAGCCCCTTGAAAATTGTAAGAAGAACCATTATGGCTTGTAATGATGTATATTTAATTATACTTAGGGATAAAAATTGAACATTGACGTGCTTTTACATAATTTTAATTGAATGACTAACTTTTGTTGGTACAGATGAAATAGTTGAAAACATTTTTTATATATACATAAGAACCGAAGGAATACGCATAATAAAATGTGCTTGTGCTTGTGATCGATCAATGTCATGATTTGTAGGAAGGCACAGACAAGCTTAAAAGAAGATGATATAGAATGTGGGGGATGTTGCATGCCAGCTGCTATGCCTCGTCCTTTGAATAATCCTTTCGACCTTTATCAACAATTTGAGATAATCCCAAAGCCTCGTGATCGTTTCCAAGCCAAGTCCATAGCCCCAGATGGAATCCCTCCCATGCCCTTGGGGGAGGAATGGAAGGCATACGTTAATATGGATACTGATCGCCACCCTATGTCTGAAGCTTCAGGCCTTAATTCCTCCTTGCGATCTCAATTACCTCATTTCAACTCTTTATCATCCTCTGATCATCATTCTGAACCAGTCGTTGTTGGAAAATGGTAAGTTCAGTTTCTTTACATTCCAAATTAATGCAAGGGAATCAAAGAGGAAAACACTCTCTCTCTATATATACATATTGTGATATATCAGTTCAATTTGACAGGTACTGTCCTTTCATGTTCGTGAGGGACAAAGGAAAGAAAACAACATTCTACGAGATGACATTGGAGCAAAAATGGGTTCGCGTTTTTTCAAAGGAAAATGATAACAGTACCGCAGAAAAAGGAGTGCATGTGGAGGTTGATGTTGAAACGGAAGTGGCAAAAATTGCCGGAAAAAAGGATGCCTTCCGATACCAAAGAAATGAGGCTTGTAGATTTGTGTGGTTTATTGGGTTTGATCGAAGGAGAAAAGAGGTAGTAGGGTTGAGCAGGGTGATTATTGAGAGAATGAAATGGGAACAAGAAAGAGTTGGATGGGTTGGTGGAACGAATGGAGCTAAAAAGCTAGTGAGAGTGGAGGAGTTTAAGGGTAATGGCACTTGGAGGAGATTTTCATGTTATTTGCTAGTTGAGAGTTTTGTTTTGAAGCGAAAGGATAATAGCTTGGTGATTACTCGTGATTTCAAACACACACACCAAGTTAGATGCAAATGGGAGTGACTCTTTGTTACATTGTTATTGCTATCTCCTGTCATTAATATATATAAGACACAATTGACTAATTTGGAGAAATTAAGAAAGTTAAATAAATTACTTTAAGATATTATATTTATCAGTTTTTTTCCATACTAATTTGTCTAGCTTATAAATTGATATAGAATGTAATGATACACATAAGTATTCTAAAGTGATTATATAACACATACTATAATTAAGTAATTCTTTAACTTCCTTAATTTTCTCAAATTAATTAAATGGATTTCATATTAAAGACTGTTATATACATGCTTTACCATTTGGGAATACCTTAATTCTGCTATTACTAGAATATCATGCATACCAGTATTTCTTTTTTCCGCAGAAGACAAGATTTGCATTTTCTGCTATATATGTTGGATGGTTCTATTCAAATTATTATAGTCTACCATGTTCCTTGGCCATATACGTCTACTTCCACCCCCACCACCACCATAATAATAATGAATGAATAATCATATTTTTGAAATAATTAAAGCTTCAATCTTCAGATGAAATCTTCCTCCGGACTGTGCCATGCATCCTTATAACTGAAGATGCTCAAGAATATGCCATCTCCAATGGCTGTGTTGACTTCTTCGTGTTTGACTTCGTAATCCTTTATTATATATGCCAGAGATAAAAACTGTCAAAGAAGCACCGGCCAAGTACATATAAACAAGTTTATCTAATTTATTTATCTTATCCAGTTTGGTTTATCTTATCTAGTTTGGTTTTTGCTTCTTTCTAATCCTTAATAATCTCATTAACACGTCAACCATCAATGAAACAGCTTCACATATATAGAAACCTGAGAGATCAGCGATTCAGGTGGAGATAATCATGTATGTAACAAGACCTCTCTCTTTATACTTAAACGACGAAGCTGCTTTGTCTCTTCCACCACCAGAGGGTCCAAACTCCGGTTACCTTGTAATCTCCGATGAATCTGAGATTCGGTTGGGTAATCGAAGGATAAAGCGTCTGCCTTTCTTTCAAAACAGGGACTTCAAAGTTCATGACACTTATGAATATGAATCCCCCAGACGAGTGGTCTTCATTCCAGTTATGAATCGCCCATTGTCCGACAATTGCTACTATGTGATGTTGACAGACATGTGGAATAAAGGGTATGTGATACTAATAATGACTAATTTCTCTCTCAATCTCATTTTTGCTCTCTTTTTGGTTATATTCTACAGCAGGTCAATTGATTCCCCAACTTAAACAGTTTTGCTTAATTATATTTTGACTTGACTTTAAGGATCTTCTTTAGTCTGTGAAACTTCTAATTTAGGGTGAGGCTGGCTGTTAAAAGTGAGATAGGTTGAGTGTGAGCAGAAATGAAAGGCTGAATTTGTGGTGATGATACATGTATATATATATGGGGGGGAGGGGAGAGAAAGGGAGGCTTGTAATTTAATGGTTTGTCATCTAACTTTCATCAAGTACAGTTCACTTATGATATAAGGCTAATTAGAATGTGGTTTACTTTGATAAAAAGGTCATGTTTTAATTTGGCCAACATATATATGTATGTAATCAAGATGTTGAAAACTATATGCAATTTTAACGATAAAGTTTATCCTAAAAAGTACTGAGCACCATAATATTTATTTGAGTGCAAAAATATACATAAAGTTGTCAAAAGAGAGCATCTGATACCAGGCCATTAATATCTATTAGTTTACCATTAGAGGAGCCCACAAAATCAATTTTAAGGTGCATTTTTAACAACAAAGTTTACATCAAGGGGCACTAGGCACCATAAAATTTATTTGGATATAAAAATATACATGAATTTTCCCAAAAAAAAAAAGTTCTTCAATTCCAATAAACGTCCATTAATTTTATTCTTTTGGGTCCCACCTTAGGGGATGTTTGGATAAAACCATGAAATCCAATTGAAAAATATTATTTCTTCTTAAAGATTTTAAACATGAAATCCGATAACCTTGTTTTACAGCTAGTTTTTTTAACAACATACTACTTCCAATTTTTAATATAAGAGCTATTTTGATATTCAATTTGGTTTTAAATATAAAACCTTAACCTATTTTGTTTCTCATATTTATCCATTTTTCTAAAATAGTCTTTATAGTAGTTATACATGTTAAATATTTCATCAAATGATACTTTTAGTTAGTACATATACTTAGAAAGAGTATTTTAGAAAAAATAATAATAACTATTCATTTCAAATAACTAACTTAACTAATTTTCTTAATCTGATCAGATTAATTAACTAGCTCTTATATTAAGGACTAGAGGTAGTATTACAATGTAAAAAAAGGACCACATTATCCAAAAGCAACTTCTTTTTTTTTTGCTTTTCATGAAACCATGGTTTGGGTGGGTCAAACCATCGTTTAGGAGCCAAACCATGGTTTCATAAAAATGTGGGGTGTTTGACAACCTAAATCCTAAAACCATGGTTTGAGCTCCAAAAGTGATTTTGGCAAGGTTGCCAAACACCCCCCAAATGCTATATTTTCTCTCCATCAATTTCAACTTCCAAGTTGATACATATTTCTCTCATCATAGTTAACACGTACACTCTCTTTGTCATGTTATTTTCCAAGTCTTTTATATGTATTTACGCAAAACAAAGTATTTATCTTCTAGAATAAAAGGTTCATTGCTTGCACCCAAGTATTACTTCTAGTCCTTAATATGGGACGCAATAAACTAATTTGAAGAGATTTAAAAAATTAAATAAATTAATTTAAAATATTATATTTATTGTTTTTCTCCAAATTAATTTTCTTGGCTTATAAACTAATATATAATCAAATGATGTATATAAATATTTTAGAGGGATCATGTACCATATGCTATATTTAAGTAATTATTTTACTTCTTTAATTTTTTTTCTCTCCAAATTTGTCCATTATACTAAGGAGAAGAGGAAGTAGGAATGAGTAGAGGAAAAAAATGATATTTAGTGAGATCCAAAAAAATAAAATTAATGAACATTTACGGGAGTTGGAGAATTTTGTTATTTGTTTTCCTTTTAGGAGTATCATGTATATTTTTACACTCAAGTAAACTTCATGATGCCTAATGTCTCTTAGGGTAAACTTTATTGTTAAAAACGCACTTTAAAACTAACTTGGTGGGCCCCTCTAATGGTAAATTAACGGACGTTAACGTTGTGGTGCCAAATGCCTCCTTTTGATAACTTCATGTATATTTTTGTTCTCAAATAAATTTTATGGTACCCGGTGCCCTTTAAGGTAAATTTTGTTGTTAAAATTGCACCTTAACCCAAATAAAAAAGTATAAATCCACAAATATATGTATAAACCACATATAATCTAATAAAAACAACGTTATCAAAACACAAATTTGATTTTCTTAAACCCAAAACAATCTCATTTCATGCATAAGTTAAAATATCTATAAAATTTGCCAACAAGATTTGGTTTAATTGGTAATGAGTCTACTCATAACCTACAAGGTTGTGTGTTTGAATTTCACTACTAACGTTAGAACATTGTTGGTGGACAATCTGCAAGTATCTTTATAAGTCTTTTGTGAGCCTAAAGCCATATTTTGGCCCTAGTAAGTCTTAGGATCCAACTCACTTAAATTTTTTATAACCAAAAAATGGACAGATTAAGAGACTAGCTCATTGGTCTAACAAAAACACACGGATCTGGTTTTAATACCAATGGAATCATCAGTCGCGTGAGAATATGTGTTTGTTGATTTGTAGGAACGCAGCCACAAGCTCAAAAGAAGATGATATAGTGAGTTGTTGTGGGGGAGGTTGCATTCGAGATGTTCTACCACATCCTTCAAATCCTTTCAACCTTTATCAACAATTTGAGATAATAATCCACCAGCAGCCTTATGTTCGCTTCCACGCCAAGTCCGTGGCCACAGATGGAATTCCTCCAAGGTTCTTGAGGCGTGAATGGAAGCCATACATTGATATAGATACCTATCGCCGCCCTCTACCGGAAGCTTTAGGCCTTAATTCCTCCTTACGTGCTCAATTACCTCATTTCAATTTTTCATCCTCTGATAATCATTCTAAACCAGTCGTGGTTGGAAAATGGTAAGTTCAATAATAATACGTACCTCCTATTCCTAATATAAGATCTATACTTGGGGGTTGAGTTTTTTGTTATAAATATATGACCTGAATCTATTTTGTCTCCCATACTTATAATTTTTTCCTAAATTACCTCTATTCTTTTGTACATGTTAAGAGAGTTAGCATCAAAAAGTAGTTTCAATACAAATGATTTAAAAGGATATTTTAAGAAAACTAACACATATTTTTGACAAATATTATCTCTGGTATTTAATATGAAAACTAGATAACTAATTTTTAAATATTAAAAAAATTAGTTATATTAGTTATTTGTAATAAATGGGTATTATCATTTCTAAATTACCCTTATCATCAATTGTGCATTAGAATGAAAACCTTTTAAAATATGTAATCATATTGGGACTACCTTAATTTGAGAAAAATAAATATGCGAGACAAAGTGGATTGATGTTTTATATTTAGGACCAAATTGAATTTTTAACTAATTCTCATATTTAAGACTAGAGGTAATAACTAATTTGACTAGTTTCCTTAGTCTATCCAAATTAGTTAAGTAAATACTTCTCCTGTCCTAAATATAAGACCTTTCATAGTATAATTTACACTATGAAAAGGGTCTTATATTTAGAACTGGAGGAGTACAATATTAAGGACCGAAGCTGGTACTTAGTGCTTATTACAATTCATTCTTCAAGCTTCCATGTAATGCACGAAGTGGCATATGGACGCCAGATATATATAAGCTTCCACTTCTGTTTCATAACTTGGTATGTATTCTGAATTCGTCTGACAGGTATTGTCCTTTCATTTTCGTGAGGGAGAGAGTGAACAGACCAACGTTCTACGAGATGACACTGGAGCAAAAATGGGTTAGGGTTTATTCAAAGGAAAATGATAATAGTGCTTTAGAAAAAAGGGTGCATGTGGAGGTTGATGTGGAAACAGAAGTGGCCAAAATTGCAGGGAAAAAGGATGCTTTCAGGGACGAAAGAGATGATGCGGCCTACTCTGGATTTGTGTGGTTTATTAGTTCTGATGATCATAGGAGAGAAGAGAGAATAGGGTTAAGCATGGCGATAACTGATAGAATGAAATGGGAACAAGAAAGATTTGGATGGGTTAGTGGAAAGAATGGAATTGAAAAGCTAGTAAGAGTGGAGGAGTTTAAGGGTAATGGCAGTTGGAGGAAATTTTCATGTTATTTGCTGGTTGAGACTTTTGTTTTGAAGCGAAAGGGAAAGAGCATTGCCATTACTTTTGATTTCAATCACACAAACCAAGTTAGATGCAAATGGGAGTGACGTTTTTTGCAATCTTATTGTGTGTTTTACCATGCACCTAGGGTTTTCCTTCTTGTAAGATACATTTTTTCAAATACTACATGGAAATTTCAAGGTATATGTGTTTGTGTAGAGTTAACATCATATCTGATCTATCTATTTAATGTGCAGTATATTTGGCATATACTAGTCATGGGAACGCTTTACAAGTTTTTTTTTTTTTAATATATATAACTCAAAGTATTCTCATCAAATTACTTTTGGACTTAAAACTAATCTTTATCAGGCCTAGAGTATTAGTGTTAAAACCCTCCCAACAAGTGGCCTTTTCAAAATTTTGAGCTCATGTTGTTTTTCTTATGGGAGTGAGACCGCTTACCATATCAACTAAGAGCTTGTTCATGAAAAGCTTTATAGGTTATAGCTACTATATATTGGCCCATTTAGATATCATCGTGCACTACAAAAAAAAAGCAAATTAATGATGCAATTCAATCATGAAATTTTCATTGCTAATCAAAATTAACGACATATTAATGAAGAAATTTAGTTAGTGACAGAACTAGTAACGAAATTTTTTCCGCCACTAGTTCTACCTTTACTAATTATTTAGTGACGAAATTCAAAATTCTATCACTAAATAGCGATGGATTACTGATGGATTAGCAATAAAAATTAGTGATGAAAATCCATCGCTAATTAGAGACAGATATCTCACGAAAATTCTATCACAAAATAGTGACAGATTTGTAATGAAAATTCTATCCCAAATTAGTAACGGAAATTTTTTGTCAATAATTTTCATCTCTAAATTTTGGTTCTATAAATTTAAAATACTACATGGCAACTATCACATCATCACTGCTCTCCACCTCAGCACCAGTTCTCTCCCCCCATGTCGTCACATCATCCCCTTGTCCACATCATCATCACGTCATCGCCTCCTTGTTCCCATGATGCCGCGTCATCGCCTTCTCATTGCCATGATGCCATGTAGGGGTGTTCATAAGGCCAAAGAGCTCACAATGCCCACCCGAGCCTAGTAAAATTATGCCCAGTCCAGCCTTAAAAAGCAGCCCAAATAATAAATAGGCATTTTTTAGCAGAGCCAAATGTCAGCCTAGGCTAGGCATTGAGTAAGGTATGTTGCCCTGCGTATTTGGCCCTGCCCAGAGTTTTTATATATATAATTATATTTAATATATACACACTTGTATATTCATATGTGACAAAATTATATACACACACATATATATCAAGATTTAAATTGTTGACATATTTGATTATATGAACATTTGTTTGAAAACCTATCATGTTGTGTGTTTGATTATATAATAATTATAAGGAGATATGGAATGATGAATTTGTAGTGTATTGTTTATATTTCTTCTTTTGAAATATTCTAAATTGTGAAATTATAAAATACATTTAAAATCAAAATATTATTTATTAGGTTTGGTAGAAATTTTCACATAATATAAACATAGGATCAGTGTATCATCACTCAGGGTGGCAAGGAAGCCCACCCTGCCCATATGTAGGTCTAAATCACCATGTTATCGCCTTCTCTCTCCCATGATATCATGTCATCCTCTTATCATGTCATCGTCACGTGTCTATCGTTTTGAGTTACCAACTCATTGCCTTGTCCATGTCATCACTACGTCACAGATTGAGCCAATTTTTGTGAAGGAGTGGTAGTTCGAACTCAAGACCTCATGCGTGCATGCTGAAACCTTTGCCAATTGAGCCAAGAAATACTTGCAAAATATTTATGTAAAAATAAATAAATATATATATAATTGTTCGCACAGCAAGTGCATGGGTCGTGACAAGTACTATAATGATGAGAAAAGCTTGTTCCCACAGAGAGTTGTGCAAAAATCAAGACCAAACAAAAGACTAAGTGAAGTTAATTAAGTTGAGCCAAACAAATTTTTGATGGGAAAAGTGAATTTTGAAAGCAAATTTTAAAACTAGAAAGTAATTGATTCTTAAACTTCAAGGGATAAAAAGGCCCAGGATTATTCATTCCCCTTGTATTTCATAATTTTTGATTTATCTCCTCTTATAAATGTTCTTAATGAAAATATGTGTTAGTTTAAGATTCAAAAGTACTCGTAAAAGCTTTCTCAAGTCAAGCACAAATATTTAATTCTATTAATTGCTAATCTCTTGTTATAATTGATAAAACCCAATTTTTAAGCTTCAATCCTAAAGTGACTATGCAAGGTTGGTAAGTATATCTCTATTTACCAACAAAACTATCCATTCAACAGGCAAACTTCAAATTCTTACACAACTTAACCTAAGTTCTACACTTAACCTAACCTTCTCAAGTATCGATCTAGTGAACAAATCAATTAAATGGTGATTAAGCAATTAAAAGCATTAAGAAAAGATTAAAATAAACACATATATGTCATTAATCATAAAAAGAGAGGAGCAATCAAGAGTTAATCATATAAGGGTTCAAAATAATCCTAGAACAAAGTATCTAGCTATTTAGCAATCAAGAGTTAATCCATATAAGAGTTTAAAATAATCCTAGAACAAAGTATCTAGCTATTCATAGTTAGCTGCAAGCCATAAATGCGAAGAAAATTCATAGCCATAGCAGATTACAAGAGAGGAGATGGAGGAGAAGTACAAAAAACAAGAAGGTGAAGCTCCAAATCTCTTCCAAAGCTTAATCTCTTGCTCCAAAATCTTCAAACACCCAAACCCTAGCACATAAAGCTCCCAGGAATGCCCAGGAATGCCCAAGCTTAAAACCTAAAAGTTTCAAGCTTAGTTGAACTGTGCATTTTGCTGTCAGTGATGAGTTGCGAACAATTTTGTCTTTGTTTCAGTTGGGCTACAGCTAGGTTATAGCACGTTGCGGCTCACTTTGCTTCTAAAAAATTAAACTCTTCTACGTCAAGTAAGGATCTTTGCCCATGTTTTGACCTCTAATGATTTTTTGTTCTCATAATGCCTTCATGACACAACCTTGATCGTCAAACTCTTTGAAAGGCTTTTAAAGTGGCTTGACATTTAATTCCTAGATCAAAATATACCTTGTAAAAGAATAACTCTATAAGCTCATAAATAGCAAAGATTAAAGCAAAAATACGTACACTTAAGCAATAATGTGCAAACCAAAACACATTTTCCTATCCTTGAGTATTAGAGTATGCACTAATGCATCAAAAAGTATCAAAAACTTAAGAAAAATGTGCTAAAATGACATGAAAATCTAGAGGTTAACAATAATGTTTATAATTACAAATACAAACATATATAACGAATATTATATATATTATTAATTTAATTTAATTTAATTTTTATTTTATTAAAAATAATTAATCATTAATATTTTTATTCAAATATTAAATAAAATAATAATTATATTATATTATTATTTTTCATTTATAATATTTGTATTTTTATCTTTATAATATATTATTGAAAAATTATCATATATTATATTTTTATTTAATAACAAATATTAAAAATTAATTGTTATATATTTATATTGTAATTTTTTGTGACAGATTAGTGATGAAATTTCTCTGTCACTAATTCCATCACAAAATGTTTTGTGAGGGGATTAGGGATGTGTTAGTAATGAAAATTAGTGACGAAAAAATTCCGTCACTAATCCTTTTATAATAGAATCAATGATAGAATTTAGTGACGAAATGAATTTTCGTCACTAATCTGTCATTAATTTAGTGGCGGAATAAAATTTTGTCATTAATCCATCGTTAATTTAGCTACAAAAAAATTCTGTCACTAAATTTTATCACTAATTTTAGTGACCAAATTTGTCATGGATAAGCAATAGAATAAAATTTCATTGCTAAATTCTGTTATTAATGTCATGTTTTTTTTGTAGTGGTATTATTTATCATGTATGTAACAAGGCTTCTTTTTTTAGGGTTAAGGTACAAAAATACCTAATAACTTTCTTCAAAAATACACCTAATACCATATACTTTTCTTAGGTGCAAATCTACCCATGCAAGTTTAAAATAAGTGCAAAAATATCAACTCCATTGAAACAAGCTAACAGTCATTTGTTTTGATGGTAGGGTCCACAAATATTTTATGAAAGTGCAAAAATACCCTCAATTTTTTTTTTTTTTAAAAAAGGCGCACACCCTCTCCAGCCCCCAACCTCTCGAGGATGCCCAGAACAAGTACCGACCGTAGCACCTAGATTTCAAAACAAAATCACAATCAACACCAACATAAATAAATCAAAGTGAGGCATGTATTTGCATATAATTGTTAGCTACCATAATTTCTACGAGACACGTAGATCTTAGATAAAATTCAGCCATCTCGCAATTACCATGATGCCATTATTATGCAAGAAAGGAGGATAGGGGTCTAAAATACGCAACCTCTAATCCTGAAAATCGAAACCTAAGCTTTGAGGGATCAAAAACAACCCCCTCAGCTGATTCAAAGAAGAGAAAGACCCCAAAAAAATTTAAAAATAAAAATTGATTGAAAATTTACCAAGAAATTGTGAGAAAATTCAAAATAAAAAAAAAAAGAAAAAGAAAAACCGGATCTCGATTTTGAAGACACCCGGCTCTTGAGAAATCCTTCCAAGTTTGATTTGTCATCAAATTGAACACAAACCCAAAAATCATAACCTCAGAGAGGGCGGGGGTAGATTGAAAGCTAAGCTTTGTGATAAACTTAAGAGGGCGAAAGATACTCTTTGGATTTTGCTCAATCCCCCCCCCCATCTTCAAAGGCTATACCCTTTACTGTTAATAATACCTTTTTGTTCTTTTCGCTGATATCTTGTTTGATCTCTACATATGGGTGAGCAAAAACTTCGAATTTTGAAATGTGTGTAGGGCACAAGTTGGATTTTTCTTCCGCACACCAAAATGGTTTATGATTAAAAGCTCAGCATTGTTTTTTATGGGCCAGGGCATCGAGAGAGCATAGAGGAGACGTTTTTATTTTGAGTTGGGGTATTTTGGTACTTTCATATAAATATTGTGGGTCCTATCATGAAAATCATAGCTTGTTTTAACAATATTGATATTTTTACATATATTTTCAACTTGCATTGATAAATTTACACATAAGAAACGTGTATAGTGTTAGGATTATTTTTGAAAAAAATTAACGACTATTTTTGCACCTTATCCCCTTTTCTTATTACATTCTTAAGGGAACAATGATGAAGGACTGAGGAGACGAAAGAGAAAGGAGGGATTTAGAGAAGAAAAAGAGGAGGGAGAAGAATTAAGAAAGAAGGAGAAATTTGATGTGCATGTAGGAGAAAAGGAAGCTTAAAGAAAAGGAGGAAATTAAATTCAGCTCTTTTTTATTCAATTTTGTGTTGATGTATTATTTATAGATCTCAATTCTAAAAATTAATGGGATACAAATTACATCAAGGTTTCATATTTAGGATCAAAGTAAATTTTTTTTATTTATCTCTTATATTTAATATGAAAATAGAATTATATATTTGATATGTTATAAAAATCACTTGCCCTTCAACGTAATAGGGAATGAAGAAGCTGGCTGGCCAAGAAATTACGGAACCCAAATATTAAAAAAGTTATCAACCAGAGTATATTTAATTTGAGGATTTAAATATTGAATCGGGACCAATTTACTTCATATACTTGCTACGTGGATAAATTTCAAGCGGTGAAAAATGACAAAATGGTAGCACGCCTTGTATTTTAAAATATACATAAATATTTTCAATTGAAGCGAATAATTATTTGAAATCCTGGTTATTTATTTCAACTCATTTTTCTGATTAAAATTACTCAAAAGTGATAATCTTCCGCATCAATCAATATACTAACATAATTTATAACAAATTGCATTATTTATGAGTTATAAATTTTAATTTTGTTGATGAGTACGTAGAACATATATAACACTGCTAGAATTGGGAAAACAGAGGGTGACCTTGTAGGGACGAAATTTTAAAAATATCTCAATTTTCTAGGCCCGACCTTTAAGCAGACGGGTTCAGGGTTGACTTACAGGCTTTTAGCCTGTTTAAAAAAAAAAGTCATTTTTCATATTTCTCACATGTTTTATAAAAAAAACCAATAAAATTACTAGTAAAAGACATAAATATAAATAACATTAAGTTTTAAATATAAAAGATTATCATATCTAAATGTCTATCAATATATAAAAAATGTAAAATATCTATTAGCCATAACAAGCCAACAACGTTAACATCTAAAAATTTCATTAAAAGTAGACAAACACTTTCACTAAGGGAAAAAAAAAAAGTAGACAAGCACCATTATCACTATATCATCAATTGTAAGAATATTTGATTATGCTTCATTAGTAATAGGCTATTCTTAACTTCTAAAAATATCAACGATTTCTTTTCAATACTATCTAGCTATTTTAGAGTTTAATATGTGTTTTTCCATCTTTTTGAATTGAATTTTTTGCTCACCAGTAAGTTTATTTAAAAGTATCAATGTTAAGTTTGCTTTAGAGGTTTCAACTTAGCAACTACTGAGGATTGATTCTGTGCTGTTTACTTAGTACTTTTTTTCTCAATCTTTAATTGTGAAAATCACTTTGCAGTCTCATGGGAACTTTGAGATATCTAGCATTTTGGATTGATCCATAGTATGCTTTTAATGAGCTAACTATGTCATCCTCTTGTTGCTTTCGTTTAAGATGGTTTTTTTTTTTTGATTTTGTCTGGTTCACTTGTCTAATTCTATTTAAATATAGAGTAAAAATTTTGATATAATCATTATAGAAAAAGTGTTAACTTATTTGTTAAAATTTTATAGCATATATACAAATTGATACGTATGTATTGGTTTAATCATTAAAATTTTTGTTTTAATACGAGGAATATATTTTGTTGATTTTAATATATAATTGTTGGTTCAAATAAATACAAATTTCACGGATACAATGTGATCATGTTCATTATCAATTTGTCCAAATATTACTCTTCAAGACTATAACAAAAATCTTTCAAAGTCACAAAACTCTTTTGTGTTATTTGATATTTGAACCATTACTTTCAGGACATTAATATTTGAAATCATTGGATCATTAGAGTATGATGAATTTGTCTTGTCATGCCATTTATTGGAACTCAAAGTGTTTTTTTACAAAGGAATTATTACAAAAGTGATATGGCTTACGACCATTTAATCACAAAATAGAGAATAGTATGACTACTAGCCATCTAATAACAGGAATTTAAAACATCATTGGATATCAAATTGAATATCACATATAAAAGAATAAGACTTGAACCTTTAAACGATGGACTAAGAATAAAAGCGTAAAATAAATTAAGAATGTATGGCAAATTCTTAGAGCGCGCCAATATGATAAATATTAATCTCCAATAAATCGTGGATGAATAAAATATATAAAAATGACAGTATAAATCCATAAACGAATAAAAGAGAAAGATAATATAAACCAAAGATATAAAATAAATAAATAAATATAGAGAGCCAATTTCAGCAATAAATATAAATAAAAGATATAGAGACAACGCGTATACATATAAAAGGGGAGGGGGAATTGTAGCAATATATATGTGTGTGTATATATATTACAGCACACTGAATAATAAATAAATATACATATGTGTCATATATAAATCTATGTACAACAATTTAAATAAAAACAAAAATAATACTATAATGAAATAAATTAAATAAATACAGACTGATAATCAAATATAAAAAAATAAATAAACCCATTATTACATAGACCACCTTATATAATCATATGTAAACAAAGAAACAATATATGTGAACCGTATAAACAAAGGAGAAATATTTAAACAATATAAACAAGGTAAACCGAATAATTACCATAAGCAGTATAAATTATATATGTATCAAACATTGCATATATATAGAAACTATATAAATAGTATATATATGTATAAACAGTATATATGAATATATAAACATAAATAATAAAAAAAGCTTATCGAGCGCTAGCATAAAAAAAAAACATATATAAGAAAAGAACAACAAAATGTGGCAAATGTATAGAGAACTAAACTGCACATGATATTCAGATAGGGGAATTAACAATATTTGTGTAAAGAGCTTATACCTCAAATCCCTATAACAAAACAAAGTCGTGCTGATAATGTGCAATAAAAATACTGAAGAAAAATATGAGTAACACAAAGAACAAGAGAAAAATGTAGAGATGAGAAATAGGGGAGAACATTCATATAGATTTTTTATGTACGTCCAATTCTTTGTATTAAGTCTCTATTTACAGACATCCTACCATTCCAAGAGTTGCAATCTCATAAATAAAAGAATTAATCTAAATTATAGCACAACATAAAAGCAATGGAGGTTATAGCAATAAGTATGATAAAAAAACATTCATTTGAGAGTTATAGGGTAAATGCCATTAAGCATGAGATAGAATCGTAAGAGATTATGGAGTTACGAACATCCACACAACATAATATTTATAGCATACTTCACCTAGTAGCGATTAGATAATAAGCCTGTTTGGCTTAGCGTTTCAAGACCAATGAGTTATTTTTTTTTAATCATAAGCATGTTTGAAGAATTTATGGTGTTTGGATTAGCGATAGAGCAATCTGACTTTTACATAAAAAGCTACAATAAGCTATAAGTAAAAATTAGTTGCTTATGCTTATAGCTTTTGAAATATGGAGAGAGAGAAATTTACTATCTCCTCTTATTCTTATTATAAGCCTCAAATAACAAATTTGTAGATAATAAAAAATTAGTTAAAATTATTTGAAGATAATAAATAAGTTAGAAATATACTTCTATTTTCAAATATGTCCTTATAATAAATGATAAAAAAATAAAAAATATATATGAGATCAATAAGAGCTTATAAATAATTTAAAATTATTATATCATGTAAATTGGGAATTTTTTAATTTTTTATTATTTAATAAAAATATACTCATTTTCATAAATTTATAAACTAAAATTATTTATTCAATCATAATTCAAATAATTTACTTTTACAAACTATCTTATTTATAAAAGTCAATCCAAATATAAATCACATTATCCAATTTTATTTTTTTAAAAGTCAAATTTTAAATAAGTTACTTTTTCTACCATTAATCCAAATGGATCCAATAATTAGGAGAGATGACCCAAAAGAATTCGGAAAAAAAAAATAATAATCAAGTAATAAATAATTCACCTGATATGTTGTGATGCCGGAACTACCTTGCAATTTTGGGCATATTTCATTTTTGCCACTGGCTAATTGTCGAAGTCTCCCCCTCGCTCTTAACCCTCACCCCTATATAAGGGCTCACCAACTTGAATCCTCTCTGCACTCTGCAGTGACACTTCTTGCAGGAAAGCGGGAAAAGCACAGAACGGAACAGTCTACAAACTGAGGAATCCAAGCTTCGAGTTCTAGTTCTATCCTCTGAACTCTAGGGTTTTTGCTCGGTTCTTTTCCCTGCTTCTTTTAATGGCCAACGTCGTTGATCAAGATCAGCATTGGCTGCTCAATTGTTTGTCTGCCACACTTGACCCCAACCATGAGGTGCGATGTTTCGCCGAAGCTTCATTGACTCAGGCCTCCCTCCAACCAGGTTGAAAATTATTGACTCTCGTGTTTAGTTTGTTTTTGTGATTAGGTTGTTTGAAAATTTTGCTCGCATAAGTATTAGATAGCTGGAAATCTAAGCACGTAGATATTGGAAATTGAGTTGTTTTAACAATAAAGTGGTTTTCTTTTGTATCGATTTTCAACTGAAGTGATCTTGTTCTTCTGAAGAACACTTGAAAAATGTGGGGGGCGGGTATAGCTCTATACTGTTGGTGAATGATGATGACTAGCTATGTTATTGTTAGGAAACTTCTTGGATTCTGCTAATTCTTTTTTGTTGAGCAGTCTTATGCTCTTCATCAATGGCTTACGCGCGCGCGCGCGCACACAAACATGCTATCTGTTTGACTCTACGCTTAAGATACCTTCTGAAAAGTAAAATAGTAAGTTGAATGTGTTGATTGGAAAAGGGTGAAACGTGAAAAAAAAAAAAGAAAAAAGAAAAGACTTATAAAGTACTTTGCAATTGTTGCATCTTGGTGGCCTTAATGATGGTACTTTTTTTAGTTTTCTTTTAGAGGTTCTGGTACTGTCTGAATACGTTTCGGTGATATAGAAATATTGACATTATAATGGGCAAAGGAAGCAGCAGTACCTGAAAAAACTGATGAGCAATATTGAACAATAGGGCCAGAATGCACTTATTGAATTGGACTTGAGAGGGGAATACAAAGGGTCCTGGATGGAAAAGAAATTCTAGCCGTGATGGATAATTAATTTGGGTAATGTGGTCCTCGTTTAGTGGCTGAGCGAGTGCATTACTGGACTGTATATGTTGATTCTTAATGAATTTGGAAATAAAGACCTGGTTGCTTTGTTGATTGAAAAGAGACAGAGAAAAAAAAATGTTAAGTTTGAACATTTATGGTTCAAACTGAGAGTCTCTTCATACGTGATTCTCATAATCTATTTCCAGAGTGGATTGTACAGCTAGCGGCTTATTTAATAATCACATTTAGAATCAATGTATGATGTGTATCAGTGGGATTTTGAAATTGAGTTTTATTACTTTCATTCATTGTTTTTGTAGATGTTGTTGATACTTGATAAGGCATCTTAAGATTTATCGATCTGGTATAGCTGCACTGATCTTAAACTTGCATTATATATGAACCTGAAGGTTTTGGCACTGCGCTATCAAAAGTTGCTGCAAATAAGGAGCTTGCAGTGGGATTGCGCCAAATATCCTTGCCATACTTGATCACTTCAATATATTTCCTTCATTTTTTCCCCATCCTTTTTAGGGGAAGAATGCTTCCTGTGACACAGTTCTAAAATGATTTTCTGTGCCTGTGGTTACAATAACTTTTACTTTTCACTATTGGCAGAAGGGATAACTAGTACTGGTAAAAGAAAAAGAATAAACAAGGAAGGCATGTGTTTTTATGACTAACGAATGTTTGCTGGTGTCTGAAATAATATGAAGAACTTGAATTTTCCTTAGTCTCAAATTTGATAGGGAAAAAAATAAATTGATGTTTGCCATTTCTTCTCTCTCACCTTAGATGTGTATTGTTTGTGACATAACAAGAATTATGTGATTGGGTGTTGTTGGCATTTGTGCTAGAAAGTATCCATTGTCCATGAGCTTATAGACTTGGATGGCTTAACCTGCATCTACCTAGCTGCAGTTCTCTTGAAGCAATTTGTAAAGAAGCATTGGCAGGAGGGAGAGGACACTTTTGAACCTCCTGTTGTTTCAAGTCATGAAAAGGTAAATAAACTTCCATCTGCAAAGTTGAGGTTTTCATTCGGTAAAGACCTGCATTCACTTCAAGAGTGGTTAGCTGCATCTTAGCTTTTTATATATCTTTTCTAAAATCACAAATTATTTCATACTTGTCCATTAGTGCAGTTGGATTGCAGTTGAAACTGTGTTGGTTTTTTTAATACTTAGCATTAGTGTCTTTCCATGCCTGATGAAGAGCAGTAAATAAATAATCCACTATACCAATTCAAACCGCATAGCAAAACGATTCCATTATTTTTGTGCTCATTAAAATTGTAGCTCGCTACTGGAAAATATTGGACGCATTGAATATGCTTTACATTATGGTTTAAATAAACAACTTAGGCAACAGGCCTGCCTAATCTGGTCCAAAATCATGGAGCATTAGACAAATATATATCTGGGATTATAATTTGATCCTAAAAATAAAAATATAAACTTCCATATTTACAATTCAAATTGTGTCATTTACAAGTCAAACTTGTAAACACTTGTACTCGTAACCTGTTAGTATTTAAATTTCTTACTAGGACCTGTGGGTAGTTTTTCCTATTTTAAATGGTTAGATTGTTTGGTTTTCTCACTTAGAATTGAATTTTTATGAGCTTTTGGAATAATGTGGATTGCGATAGTTATTTCTGTTTTCATATCCTTTCATTTCAGCAAATTGCTGTTTTTTAATAAGTTTCTTAAGCAAAACCATATGCATTACAGTCATTATTAAAGTTTGATAATTGAAGCAGATAGGTTGCTGCAGGGAAAAAAATCCTCCAGTGCTCTACAAATTCCATGCTGCTGTACTTTAGTTCATGAAAGTGGAAAAAATGAATTCAGCAAATTTGGAAATCTCTCAACCTGCCTTTTTTTATGAAGTTATTATATCTAGCCTATCTTCCCAAAGATTTGACGGATTGTGTGTCATTTGAGGTCTGAAACAGCCATGTTGCATAAATTTCATATATATTTCTATTTTTTTAACCAGAATATTTTAGTATATGATTGCATCCTTCCTACATGTGAAGAAAAAGTTTTCTGTGGAAGTAGCATTTTTTCCTTGGCTTTTCTTATGAGATGATGATCTATTCATCACCGTTTACTTACAAAACTGATTCTTCATCGTGAATTTTCTTTGGCCAACTTCATTCTGAGCTCTTTTTACTTTTCTTCAAAAAGTTGATCATTTGATAATTGGTGATGCTATTTTTTTAAATGTTTTGATATATTGTTAATTGTTGTTGGCCAGAAAAAAAAGAAGAAGGATAGATTGTTAATTTTAATTGGCTCTTTATTTTTGGCCCCTGCACATGTAATTTCGTTTTGTTTGATATTCAGGTGGTGATCCGTGAAATACTTCTATTGGCATTGGATGAGTCTCATAAGAAAATCTGCACAGCTATCAGCATGGCTGTGGCATCTATTGCAGAGTATGACTGGCCAGATTTTTGGCCAGACTTGTTACCGTTCCTCCTGAGGTTAATTGGCAATCAGGCCAACTTGAATGGAGGCAAGCATTTTTTATAATCAAAATCTTATCTGGATCCAATGTCAATAGTGTCAATGAACCAAAACTGCATATTAATTATTGGAAAAATTAGTCTCTAAATCCCCATAATCTTACTTAGTTTTTAATTAGTCCCTTGTAGTTCCCCCCCCTTCCCAATCAAGTCCTTATAGTTTCACCTGATTTTAATCAAGTCCCAAAAGTTTTTTTTTTCCCTTTACTTTTTATGAGATCCTTATAGTTTCATTTGACTTTTAATTATGTCTCTTCAGTTTTATGTAACTAATGAAAGGGGGGAAAAAAACTATAGTAACTGTAGGAATTGAGGTGAAGTGCACCTCTAATTCTATTATTGGCTCAATATTGAAAGTTACATAAAGTCAAAATATATAAAACAAGAGATGTAGGGGCTGCTGAAAAACTAAATCTAAATCTAGTATCTAAATTTATCTTATCATATCTAATCTAGATATCTAAGATATATACATAATAAACAGATAATTACTAGAGTTTTTCTAATTGCTAATGGGCCTAGTTGGGCCTAGGTCCAAAACTCAACACTCCCCCTCAAGCTGGAGAGTAGATGTTGATCATCCCCAGCTTGGATATGAGTTCTTCAAATCTGGGTCTCTTGAAAGCCTTCATGAGTAAGTCTGCCACTTGGGAACCTGATTTAACATGAGACACTGCAAATATCTTTGACTCTATCTTTTCTTTTATGAAGTGTTGATCAATCTCTACATGTTTCGTTCTATTGTGTTGAACGGGATTTTTGGCCATCTTTATAGCTGATGTGTTATCACAAAACATTTGTACTGGTAAAGTCACATCTTTATTGAGTTCTTTGAGTAACATCAGCAGCCACATACCTTCACACATTCCTTGTGCTAGAGCTCTAAGTTCAGATTCTGCACTACTTCTTGAGACGACTTCTTGCTTCTTACTTCTCCATGTTACTATGTTACCCCATGCATAGGTGGAGTATATAGTAGTAGACCTACTGTCTAGTATTGAACCTCCATAATCAGCATCTATGAAGATTTCAATACTCCGATGGTTCCCCTTTTTGAAGAATAGTCCCTTTCCAGGAGTCATCCTGAGATAATGTAGAATCCTTATTACAAGATTCATATGTTCCTCATTAGGATCACTCATATGTTGACTAGCCACATTTACTGGAAAAGAAATATCTGGTCTTGTGTGTGATAAGTAGATTCATATGTTCCTCATTAGGCTCACTCATATATTGACTAGCCACATTTACTAGAAAAGAAATATCTGGAAGTTGCTAGAAACCAAGAAGGAATCTCTGTATCTTAGCGAAAGTACACCTTAGACCTCCTTGAGGAGACAAAAATGTTAGGCTGTAGACCTGTCAGCATATCCATGGAAGGTGACTACAAGCCCATATAAGGACTTTTTTAGTTTACACACCTTATTCTTATCTACCTTTTCATTCAGCCTAGGTGGAGTTTTCATATATACTTTCTCTTCAAGATCTCCATTCAAGAATGCATTTTTGACATCTAGTTGGTGTAATGGCCAGTCTAAATTAATTGCAAAAAACATGAGTACCTTAATTGTATTAAGTTTTGCCACAGGAGCAAATGTCTACTGGTAATCGATTCCATAGACTTGGGTAAACCCTTGGGCCACTAATCTCGCTCTATAACGATTAATGCTGCCATCAGGATTGTACTTCTTGGTGAATACCCATCTGCATCCAACAAGAGACTTTCCAGGAGGAAGATCAGCAATTTTCCAAGTGTCGTTCTTCTTTAATGCATCTAATTCCTCTTTTACTGCCTTTCTCCGTTCAACTTTCTTATATGCTTCATGAATATTCCTGGGAAGCTTCTCTAATGAGAAGTTTAGGAGACAACTTGTCATAAGCTACAAAGTTCTGTATAGAATGTCGTATTGTACACCTCCTTACCCCTTTTTTGAGAGCTATGGGTAACTCATCATCTTGTTTCTCAGTATTTGGAGGAAGGGAATTAGATAGGCCTTGCCTTAAGTGAGCATCTCCACTGGTTTTTAGATCCTTCGGTTGAGTCTTACTCCTTCTGCTATAAGTAAATTGCTGCTGTTTTATGACATTGTGATGAGAAGTGTTTTGGGAATGGTTTGCAGGAGGTACAATATCAGGTTCAAAGTTTTTAGGTTCTAGGTCTAGGTGAGTGACTTCAGGGTTTGGCCTTTCATTCGGTTCTGGTTCAAGACTTGTTATAGGTGGGGTTGGTAACGGAGGCTCTTCAATAGGTAGGGCTGGTACAATAGGTAAGGCATTATGATCAGTTAGAATTGGTTCAAGGAGTTGAGGCGTCCATTCCTGTGATGTGTACTCCCCCTAAATGGGTGCTTTGGATAAAATGGTATGTGCTCGTGAAAAGTAACACTGAAGGAGATATAGAGTTTCTTAGTGGGTGGGCAGTAACACTTGTATCCTTTTTGGAAACTGGAATAACCAATGAATATACATTTAATGGATTGATGATATAATTTTCCAAATTGTTCATTGTGAACAAAGGCTGTGCAACCAAAGATTCTAAGTGGTACAGAAGCCAATATTTTAGAGGAAGGAAAGGCTGCAATGAGTTGATGTAAGGGAATAGCAAGATTGAGAATACGAGAAGGCATTCGATTGATAAGATGAGTGGCAGTAAGGATGGCTTCTCCCCAATAGTGAGTGGGAAAATTATAGGCAAACAACAAAGATCGAGCAACTTGTAACAGGGGGCAATTTTTTCTCTCAGCTATCTTGTTTTGTTGAGGAGTATTAACACAAGTGGTCTGATGGATAATGCCATGGCGAGAAAGAAAGTCATTCAACGTATGATTAACAAATTCTTTGCTGTTATCAGTTCACAAGATTCAAATGTGAGATTGAAACTGAGTGCGAATGAGAGCATGGAATTTTTGAAAAATATGTGGGACTTCAGATTTTTCTTTTAAGAGATACACTGATGTAAAACGCTTGTGATCATCAACGAAGGTAACAAACCAACAAGTCCCATTAATATTTTTGATACTAGAGGGTCCCCAGACATTACTATGAATCAGTGCAAAGGGTTCGAAGGGTTTATAAGGGTAAGTTGGATAAGAAGCTTTGGTATGTTTTGAAAGTTGGCAAGTATCACAAGTAAAAGAATCTGAAATTTTATTATTCCAATGAGGATACAAAGTTTTAAGATAAAAGAAACTAGGATGTCCTAATCGAAAATGCCATAAAACAACATCGTTGTGCGAAATAGAAGAAGCAATAGTGAAGTTGCGTGAACCTATAAACCAGTATAGATCGCCACACTCTTTAGTTGTGCCAATCCTCTTCCCTATCTCCAAAGTCTGAAATATACCACCAAATTCATCAAAGTAAGTAGTGCATCTAGATTCTCTTGTGAGCGTACTAACCGAAATTAAATTACAATCTAAAGTGGGAATGTAAAAAACATTGTTGAGAACCAGGTCATCATTAAGGGTAACTATGCCAATACCAACTACTTCGGCCCTAGAACCATCTGCGACATTGAAACATGAGCGAGAGGAACTATATGTGAAATCAGTTAGCAGAGCAAGATTACTAGTCATGTGATGTGTAGCGCCAGAATCAACAATCCAAAAATTGGGATTGGGGTTGTTATGTTGGTAGGCATTACTGCAGGAGCCAACAGTTGGGCCATCTTGAGAGGTGTGGTTTTGGGAACCAAGCAATCGCTGAATGATATTTAGCAAATCAGCATTGGTAAGGTTAGGATTATCGTTATGTGGCTCATCATCTGCTGTAACAGCTAGAGCTTTAGAACCACGTTGTTTTGGTTTAAAGTCAGCTGGCTTCCTGTGTGATTTCCAACGCTTAACTTTAATATGACTGATCTTCTTGCAATGTTTGCATATGGGGCATTCATCTTTTTTACCTTTAGGTTCAGGATTGGGTGAGCCCTTTGCAACCATGGCAATTGCCTTAATAGATGGTAGGGATGGAGAACTCGGAATGTACTTGGAGATCAATTGTTTGCAGCTTTCTTCCCATTTTAGTTCAGCAAAGATCTCATCTAATGATCAAAGGGGACGAGTAGACATTCTTCCCCTTACATCATCATACATAGGATTAACACCAAGCAGAAGAGTATAAATGCGATCTTTCTCAATAATCTTGCGATATGTATCAGCATCTTTACTACAATGCCATTGATGTGTATCATGAAGATCAAGTTGTTGCTAATACATGACTAGACTATTGAAATACCGAGTCATATCTAAATCCCGTCGTCGCATCTCACGAATAAACCCTTTAATATGAAAAATAGCAGCTGTGTTCTCACGAGTTGAGTAACATGTGCGAACAACGTCCCAAATACCTTTGGCCATAGGAAAGAGTAAATAGTTTTGGCCAATGTCCGGACTCCGGAACCATAGAATTGATACGCCAAGACTTGACCATATTAGTTTCAGCATACCAAACCTTGTGCTTTTCTTCGGAATCAAGCGGTTGAGCTGCTTTACTAGTGAGATAATCTTCCTTCCCTCTTCCAACAACATACATAAGAACCTCTTGGGATCATTGTAAATAATTGTTCCCATTGAAGCGATGAGTGGTAATAAAGAGAATAGGTGGCTTAGGAGGCAGAGACGGCAGGGACACAAAAGACACCAATGGTTGCGTGTTTGAGGAATCAGCATGTGGAGAGTCGCTGGCAGTGTGGAGGGCATGATAGGTCCCGAAATTCATCTTTGAAAATGAATTAGGCATGAAGCCAAGATAAACGGCGAACACTGGATGGACAAAAGGAGAGAGAAGTATGCGATGGTGGACTGAGAAGATGCTGATATAGGACCCTTCAGATGTGTAAGTCATGATACCTAGGGACGGAGCGACTTTACTCTGGGTGTCGAACAATGGAGACTAGCAGAGGAGACAGAGTCGCACAAACTAGGCGACCACATCCTGGGACTTTGATCGCAGAGTAACCGACGGACAGGGAGGGGGAAAAACATGCGCAGACAAGACCTGAAATTAGTCTTGGCGTGATACCATGTAGGAATTGAGGTGAAGTGCACCTCTAATTCTATTATTGGCTCAATACTAAAAGTTCCATCAAATCAAAATATATAAAAGAGACGTAGGAGCTACTGAAAAACTAAATCTAAATCTAATATCTAAATTTATCTTATCATATCTAATCTAGATATCTAACATATATATATAATAAACAGATAATTACTAGAGTTTTTCTAATTGCTAATGGGCCTAGTTAGGCCTAGGTCCACAACTCAACAGTAACCTTGTTAAAAATTGCATGAAACTACAAGGACTTGCTAAAAAGAAAAAAATTAGAGGAACCTGATTAAAATCAAGTGAAAATATAAGAACCTGATAAACAGTAGAAAAAAAATTATAGGGATCTAATTAAAAATCAGGTGAAATTATAGGGACTTACAGATTGATTTTCCCTTAATTATTTGCTGAACAGTTTTATGGATTGATTGGTGCTTTTCAAAAATGCTTTGGAAACTTTAGCACCCTGGTGGTATGATTACTAATGAAATATTGTTGTCTCCTAATATAAAACCATGATCTCTTCGTTGGGGGTTCCTTATTCTCCATCTTTTCTTTTTCCCTGCTTCTGCTTGTTTGAAATTTGTGAAAAATTCAGAGAAAATAGAAGCCAGTACTACGCTGCCAAAATCTGCCACGGCACAAAAGACGTGCGGATTAAATTTTAAAGACAATAAGAGGCATGAGGGTGAATGGTGATCAGATATGCCTTGGTCCAGACTGCCAACCAAAGAAAAGAAAATTCCGAGGAGATCGGTGATTTGTGGGGTTTTTTTTTTTTTTTGGTTTATATGAAAGCTTGTGGTGCCAAAGATAAAGCATTTTACAGTGGATGCATCTTCTCTGACTTGGCAAACCACTTGATCTATGCTTTTCTTTTCTTTTCTTTTGTTTCCTTTTTTTATTTGTAAGATATCTACAATTTTCTTAGCATTCTTTTGCAAGATATTGATCATCAACGACGAGGATCATATTCCTGATGATTGATCAATTAAAAAATGAAATTGGATGACGATGACTGCTTAATTGGTTAATTCTTCATTAAGTAAACCTGAAAAAGTTTCTTTTATCGGTTGTGTGATGCTTTCTGCTGCTGCTTTTGCTGTTATTATTATTATTATTATTATTTTCTTTCATTACCTTAATTCACTTTATCTTTTTGACTATTTAGTATATGGAGCCATGAGGTGTTTGGCGCTTCTCTCTGCGGACTTGGATGATAAAATAGTTCCAACACTAATACCTGCTTTGTTTCCATGTTTGCTCACAACTGTATCTTCTCCCCAGGTTGTTATTATTATTATTATTTGTAAATTTACCTGTCATCTCAAGTTGACCTTTATTTTAACTTTATTTACATTAATTTAGCATCGGTTCAATTATTATTGTTATTGTTGTTGTTGTTGTTATTTTGAATTTTTAAGATGAAGGTTACAAGAAATGATTTTTACACAATTACTGGGAGGAATGCTGTTATGCAAGCACATGCGCTCGCGTGCACACTCACTAGTTTGTTTCCGTGTGACTGTGTTCACAGAGGCCTACAGTTACATTTTGAAAATGAAAATGGGCCAAAAATAGAGATTAGAATGTCCAGTTTATATGGTGAACTTAGCTTGATCTGTTTCCTTTGATGATTTTTTATGGGGAACAGATATATGATGCATATATACGAAGCAAGGCCCTTTCAATAGTATATTCTTGCACTTCCATGTTGGGGACAATGAGTGGTGTCTATAAGGTATTTTCTTTCCTCTTGGTGATGGTGTACTGTTCTGGTGGCTGTAGGATTATCTTCTTTTGTCCCCCTAATTATTAACAGATCAAAGACATTCTGTTCAGACAGAAACGAGTACCATGATAATCCCTATGCTTAAACCATGGATGGCCCAATTCTCTTCTATTCTTGAAGTTCCAGTTCAATCTGAAAATCCGGATGATTGGTGTATCAGAATGGAGGTTGTTCTTGTACTTTTTAAAGTCTTAACTATGTGTTCTGTTTTCCCAAGAATTAACAAATGTTGCATCTCTCTTCATGAAGGTTTTGAAGTGCTTGAACAAGTTTGTCCAGAATTTCTCAAGTCTCATTGGGACTGAATTTGAGGGTAAGTTGTTGACTTGTTCTTTTGTCTAGTTGATATGCTTATACAAATTAAATTTTCCGCCACTGTTTGTTCTCTAATATATTGCATTTCAACATGCTGTCCACTGTAGAAATATTGCGATCACTGTGGAATACATTTATCTCATCCTTGAGAGTGTATGAACAATCATCTATTGAAGGTACAGAAGATTCATATGATGGAAGATATGATTCTGATGGTGCAGAGAAAAGCCTTGATTCCTTTGTTATTCAGGTATTATGGAGTAAGCTTGTTATTTTGATTGTGTTAATTAATAACAAAAAAAGACACTCCACTGCTCATGGTATCATGTCATATTTGAATAGCTAATTTTAGCGTCCACATAGGACAACTTTATCATTCATGATTCATGAGGCATTTCAATTCCTTTTAATTTATTAAGTAGAGGGCCTGCCCTGATCATATTTGTTAGGTATGTCAATATATTCAAATATGGTTTTTTATCTAGTTTTGTACTCATCAAAAGATGGATCCTTCTAGATTTATCTATCAATTTGTATAGGGCATAGACAATGACTTCAGATTTGTGGATCCTTTAATTGTACTTTGGGGCAGCCTTGCTGAAGCATTTTACATCATATATCAAAGATTTCATTTTTTGGAGTTTTAAGTAATCAGCTAGTTCTATTGTGTCTAAACTAGTGTCCATCATCTCCAAATGGTTTTATACTTGTGTTCCCTTGATTTTGATTCAACTAGTTTTTTAACGTCCGTATTTTTATTAACAGATGTTTGAACTTCTGTTGACTATTGTGGGTAACACGAGATTGGGAAAGGTTTGAGCCTAAACTTCTTAAAACACTTATTTCATCTTGTTTTCTAATTTGAAGCTACTTTGATTTATGGCTTGTGCTTTTGTTGCTTAGGTGGTTGGGGCTAATGTTAAAGAATTGGTCTACTACACTATTTCTTTTCTACAAATGACAGAAAAGCAGGTATGACTTCCTTTTTGAGCCTTCTCATCAGTACTTTCTTGATCATATTTGTTATCACTTTGCTCAGCAGAATCTGATTGAGATCTGATTGGCTTTCTGCTATTTCTAGTCAGATAACATTCAGCAATATAAAATGTTTAGCTTGTTGAATGAAAAAGCAAAATGTTGTTACTAAATATCAGTGTCTTGCATTAATTTAGTGCTATGCAGACTAACATCTTTCATTATCTTGACTCGATGTCTGCAAATGCAACAAGTCATTTTACTTTGCATAAAGCATACTTCTGTCTCCTTCAAGAACCTGAGCTGATTTATAGTCAATATTTTTAGAACCTATTGTTTTATTGTGCGAACATTTGCATAACGAGGGTATGCACACACTCATCCACACCCACACACTTAAATCTTGATAGATCAGAAGAATGGTTACTAAGTATTCCGGTTAGTTTTATTTTTCCGTCACAGTAGGAACTTGGATATATATGACTCCTGTTAACTTCTGATCGCAGCTCGTTTCTTGTCAAATCCACTATTATGTGCTTGTTTCTTCACCAAAGTTAATTGAGAATCATACCAGATGCTCATAAATTTTACTCCCTCCGTTCCTTATTATAAGAGACATTTGATGCTTATGGCATGTTCCTATATATAAGAGACACTTAAAAGTTGTCTCTACTTTTTTGTGTTGATTTCCTATTTTACCCATATTTATTATCTCCAACTCACACTCTCTTTCCCTCCCACTTCTCTTTCTTTTAATAATTTAATTGTTCTCTCTCATGCTCTCTCTCCTTATTAATGAGGGCATTTTTGGAAAAAAAATTATACTTTTTACACATTAATTGTCCTTAACTAATTTTAACTATTTTTTTGATCAACGTACTTCGGTTATTTGTCTCTTATAATAAGGAACGGAGGGAGTATAATCCATCAGTTTAAATTATTCAAAATTTATCTGTGCTTTTTCCTTGGCTCATTATTTGCATAATTATTTCTGGTTTTTTCTCTGTAATTATAGAGCTTACTGTCAATGGTTTGTCAATAAGATTGAAGTATGATTATAGTCTTCTAGCCTAATCCATTGCACATACTGTGGCATAAAAAGCAGAATTTTATCAAACCTTTGAGATAACTAAAATAGTAAATTTTGCACCCTGACCGTTTTATTGTGTAATAACTTGTAAATATTTTTGAGCGTTGAAAATTGGCTGTGATTTTCAGCTTCGCATTTGTATGAATGATGCTAGTCTTTCATGTTAAGTATGACATGATTGATTGGCACTAGCATGACTATGCCTTCCTCCAATGTTTTACTTTTTTGGCCAAAAATGTTTTATGGAAAAGTGAAAGAAAAGGAATTGTACTCATCGGATCCCAAATTGAAGGAAAAATTAAAAACCAATGGTTTAATTGTTTTTTCATGAGGCTTGATTTTGAACATAGATTTAGTTAAATATTCAGTAAATGAAAATTATGTAAGCATATATTGATGTCATTTTTGTGGTCTATATGCAAGGCTCAGTCTCCTTTTAAAATCTACAATTCATTCCTTGAATAATTTCAATACTGATATTTGGGATATTTTCTCTCTAGGTTCATACGTGGTCATTGGATGCGAATCAGTTTATTGCTGATGAAGATGATGCCAATTACAGCTGTCGTGTTTCAGGTTAAGAATCCCCTTTGATGAATTGGCATATCAGTTTCAATTTCTTAATGTTGGGAGTTTATTTCAAATTGATTTGATAATAGTTTTAATCATTTTCAAAGGTAAATCATTAATCAAATTTTGATAAATTTCAAAAATAACATTAATTTGGTGAGTGGGTTAAGTAGGCCTCCTTTGTGTTTTTAGGAAAATACATTGCAAGAACTTTTCTATTTTCAAAATATCTGCTGACCCCCTTTGAAATTAAAACTTATACTACAGTTTAGTCTAATTTTTACTTTTTTTTTTTTTAATTAGAAAGTCCTCCTTTAACATAAATACATTCTTTAAACATACCTTGTTGAAAAAAATATACTGTTTTTATTTTAATTTGTGCATATTTGGAAAGTTTACTCTCTTTTTATTTTGGAATATTTAGATATAATACATATTTGTATAATTAAGTTAATACAGGCTAGTTCAGTCAAAATATTAAAAGTTAAACTAAAGCATATAATCTCGAAAAGAGTGAGATGTTTGTCTGATTCTTTTTTTTTGGGGGGGGGGGTCAAGGAAAGCCCATTGAGTTTACTATGATTTTTTGTTAGGTTACTGCAGTGATTTATTTTATAATTTTATATGCTTATGTAACGATGATACTTTTTTTTTTTTTTTGGGAGACTGTTGGGCTTTTTGTAATAAGTTATTAGAAAGTTGTTTCTTGTAGGTGCACTTTTGCTGGAAGAAGTAGTTAATTCTTATGGCGGTGAGGGAATTCTGGCAATCATAGATGCTGCAAAACAACAGTACACTGAATCTCAAAGCAGAAAAGTAGCTGGAAGTGCAAGCTGGTGGAAAGTAAATATGGAATTTTTGTTTGTTGCATTTTTTTCCTTGGGTCTAATATGTCCAACACATGATATAACTTAAAATTTTTTTTTTTAATTAGTCTTTTGAAGTTATCTTCGATTTTCTGCCATGCCCTAATCATCATCACTTTTTGGTGTTTTTGGTTCTCTGCATGCATGTCACTTAATCTTTCTCTCCCTTCGTGTAAGAGGCAGATCATGCATATGCATCAAGCATTTCAAGAAAATTGCTTATATGTTAGCATAATTCGTTTCAACTTTCTAAGTTGTGACAGCATGTATTCTTGGCAGATAAGGGAGGCTACTCTCTTTGCCTTATCATTTATTTCTGAGCAGCTGTTGGAAGCAGAGGTTTGGGCTTTTTGACATTTGAGTCCTAGATTATGAATATATTATAACTGAAATAATTTCTTTTCAGTTATGATTAACTGCAAATTTGTTTGTGACGGTGTCTGATTTTCATATTTTCTTTGTTACTTATACAGGATTCAGGTCTAGTACCAAGTGGCTTTCAACAGCTGGTTGAGCAGATAATCACTGAGGACTCTCTAATAGGTTGCTCCTTAATTCCTTCCTCACCTGGCATGAGCTTCCATTGTTTAATATATGCAATTGTTTTTACATTTCCTTCATTGATGTTTCTCTTCTTTTTCTTTCACACTTTTGGCAGGTTCTCATGAATACCCGTTCCTTTATGCTCGTATTTTTGCTTCAGCTGCAAAATTCTCCTCCTTGGTAACTGTCATCTAATTTATTATGGTCCAATTTTCTGTCTTATGGTCTTATTTATTTTATTGTACAGCTAAGCAGTGGTATTCTAGAGCACTTCGTTGATGCGGCTATGAAGGCAATTACAATGGATGTGTGAGCACATTTATCCTTCGTTAGCTTATATTTTTCTTATAATTTTCCTTCACTGAAATTTAATTTTAATAGGCCTCCACCTATGAAAGTCGGTGCCTGCCGTGCTCTCTGTCAGCTCCTTCCTGAAACAAAGAATGAAATTACCCAACCACAATTGTTGGGTTTATTTTCATCTCTCTCAGAGCTGCTTTCTCAAGTACTGTGCAATATTGTACCTTTTTACTAACATTGAGATTTTTTCGGGGGGCATTTGGTAATCGTCTTAATGCTATTTCCAGGCATCGGATGAAACCCTGCACATGGTACTTGAAACTTTGCAAGCAACAATTAAGGCAGGCAAGTTTTGATATTATTAGGCACCAAGTACCAAAAATTTCTAGTTCTCCTGGTTTATATGTTATTTATGGTCATATACTACTTTTGCATTGATACCTATATTTTTGCTCATTATAGGTCATGAATCATCAGCGTTTGTGGAGCCCATTATTTCTCCTGTTATCCTTAATGTATGGGCATTGCATATTTCAGATCCCTTTATCAGTAGTGATGCGCTTGAGGTTCTTGAGGTAATTGTTTTGAACATATTTTTATCGATGATATTATCTGCTGTGTTTGCTTATTGATGCTGGCATGTTATGTTAGTTATTTTTTATGACTCACTTAGTTATGCTCCATGTGTGCTGTATCTTCTAGGGTCACATTTACAGAACTTGGCAACATCGTTTACATGATTATAGATGTTTTGATATTCATCTAACTATTTTATTATTTTCCCCAGGCCATCAAAAGTATACCTGGATGTTTACGTCCACTGCTTTCCAGAATTTTACCATATATTGGACCTATTTTAAGTAAAGTACGACTGACTGAAGCTTTCTTATGTTATCATAAAATAAGAGATCTAGGTATTGCTTTCTGATGCACCTTTTTTTTCCCTTTATCAGCCACAAGAGCAGGCTGATGGGTTGGTAGCTGGGTCATTGGATCTGGTAACTATGCTACTAAAGGCAAGTATACTTGCTTTTAAGCATAATTACTTTCGACTTCTGTCAATTTATCAGCTTTGACCTTTAATCAGTGTGCTATAACCTATGATTTGTTAATTTGTGGTTTCTCATAGCATTTTACAGAATGCCCCTGGTGATGTAGTGAAGGCAATATATGACATTTGTTTTGATGCCACAATCAGAATAGTCCTTCAAAGCGAGGATCATAGTGAAATTCAGGTCATACAGTTTTCTACGCATCCATGTATATCTGATGACTTGAGTTCTAATACTTTGGAGCTATGTTTGGTTAAAATTAATATATCTTCTGATTGGTGTACTCTGCAATGTAGAATTAATTGTCATCCATTAACTCAACTCAACATTTAACAGAATGCCACAGAATGTTTAGCTGCTTTTATATCTGTGGGAAGACAAGAAGTCCTTGCCTGGGGATCTAATTCTGAATCAACTATGAGAAGTTTACTTGAAATAGCTTCAAGGTAGTTAGCAATTATTTTACGTTGTTTCTTAAATATCATCATACTGCAAGTGCCCTTTTTGAAATAGCATGGCATCTGTCTAGTCAATACTGATGAAAATAAATCTTATGCGGGAAATCAGAATTTTGCTGTGCTTTTTTATGTTCAACCTTCCATGTGTTGGCAGCTTTATGTAGGCATCCTAGTAGAACTGTCATTAATAGAAGGAAGGTTTACTGATGTAAGGAATCAAAATGAAATAAGGCATTATCTTCTTAGTGGTCGTCACTCAGATTCTCATGTCTTTGCGAATGGGCCTATTTATTTGTTTCTTTTCTTCCACTGCTCATCAGTTTAAAAATAAGAACTTCTCCCTTTATTCTCTTTATAAGATCCTGATGTTCTTAAATGCTCTGTTTCCTGGAATTTGATGCAGGCTTCTAGACCCAAATTTGGAAAGCTCTGGATCTCTTTTTGTTGGGAGCTACATTCTTCAACTTATATTACATTTGCCGTCACAAATGGCCGTACATATACATGATCTGGTTGCTGCTGTTGTCAGACGTATGCAATCTGCTAAAATTGCTGCCTTGAGAAGCTCATTGCTGGTTGTTTTTGCCAGATTGGTAATGCAATCTAATTTCTGATTATTATGGATTTCTCATTTCTGATACAATGTGAAGAAAGGGGGTAATCGTATTTCTTCTTTCAAATGATAATTGGAGAGGAAAATTATGTATACAGACCTGTCTACCGTCAATGGAAACGTATCTTCATACGATTACCCCTACCCAACGGTTGACTCCTGGGAATAATGCTATAATTTCATGGTTGTCTATCCATATACATTATACTGATTGTACATCTTCCTGAACATTCGCCCCAGGATCTTCAGATGACACTCACATTTATGCTTTAGCAGTTTCCCTTGGCGTTCAATCTTGTTGGACATTACTGTGTGAATGAAAACTTGACATTTGAGGCCATGTCTTTAGATTCCCAAAGGGGTTTGTCACTGACCAAATTCTTCGTATTCAATTAATAGCCAAGAAATTGGGAAAAGAACTTAGATGACCACTGCAAGGGACTAGAAAACTCTTTTGAGCTAAAGTTGATTTAGTCTTCTCTCTCTTGGGATGTCCTCCGTTTATGTATTTTTCTCTCTTCTTTCTAATAAATTTTTCTATGGGGGAAGAAAAGATTCAAGAGTCCGAACTAACTTATATATGACTAAAATCAAGGGGATTTATTGTTCTATATTTTCCTTTTCAGTGTTGTAATGATTTAGCTTCCCTTTGTACAGCTAGTATGGTAACTCAAATTCTGTATAGTTGGGAGAGTCAAAAGGAGTTTTTTGGATGCCTTGTCATGCTACCCTTATTATTTTGGCTTAACTATTGTTTTGGTCACTTAATCTGTTGTTTGTTTCAATTTGGTCTCTCAACTTTCAATTTGTACCGTATTTGTCCTTTTTTATGACTGCTTTGGAACATATAACAAGCAAGGCATCATTTTGATATACTAGAAAGAGATGATGGGACCATTTTGGAAATAATGTTAAGGGGTGACTATGATATGAATTGAAAATGCGGAGACCAAAGGAAACAAGTTAATAAGCTTAGGGCACCAACATGATAGTTAAACCTTGCCCCCATAACTAATTGGTTGGCAAAAAACATTTCCACACTATAGCTCTTGTGATATTTCAAATATTCCTTCATAACTGCAGGTTCATATGAGTGCTCCTAATGTTGGACAATTTATTGATTTGCTGATCTCTATTCCTGCTGAAGGTCATGATAATTCCTTTGCTTATGTAATGTCAGAATGGACTAAGCAACAAGGTGAGCATCCTTCAGCCGTCTTTTTGCAATGTGATCGGTGTGTTGCACATTGAGATCTTGTCACTTCATGGGATTTCCCTGAGGGCATGGATTTCAATGTCTCTGATTCTTGGAAATAACTTAGGGGTTCAGTGTGTCTGGTTGAAATAGTTATTGGAATTTACCAAATTATTCAGGAGAATCCCCTATAATTTTTGGTGATAATTTCTGATTTTTTTAAAAATAAATTGATTAACGTGATTTATTCTTTTACTTGAATAAACTTTTGATCATCACATGAAAACAGCTAGGAAATTGAAATTATAATCTTGTGGTTTATGTAGGCTTATAGGTTTTAAATAGTTGTAGAGCAATTGTTTTTTAGGCTCTTGTTTCTGATGTTTATCTCTGCTATTGCTGGCCAAAAAATTCTATACTATTAGTCTATTACATTTACATGTCTAAATTGAATGATCAATTCAGTCACTTTCTTCTTTCTCTAGATGCATTGCTTACTGCCAGTAGGAAGGATCTACAGATAGAGAAATGTTGTTTTCGAATTGCTATAATAATATTGACTCCTTAGGTCTCATGTCTAAACAGATAATCCAAACCTTTGTTTAGATGCCAGGCTCATGCTAAAATTGACTGAGAAGTATATTGTGTTTAGTCATTCTGTTATACGTCGCTTGTTGCATCAGGGGCTTAGACAAGGCTATTAATTTTCCCTTGTTGGTCTTCTTCCTTGGCAGGCTTTCTTCATTCTCTTCTTCTTCTTCTTCTTCTTTTGTTTTTTTTGGGGGGGGGGGGGGGGGGATACAAAAAAAACTTTCTTCCATTCTTGTGCAGTGAAACTGTACTGAAAAGTACGATTTGTAATGGATCTGCTGATATGCATGTTTATGGTTTCTGGCCTTTCTTGTATGTTTTGGCTTGAAGGTATTTTACCCTCCAACAAGAGGCCCCCTCCTTCTGATGGAATTTCTTATTTATTTACAACAACAACAACAAGTCTTATCCCACTAGGTGGGGTAGGCTACATGAATCACATAACGCCATCGTGCTCTGTCAACAACCCAGTCCTTAGATATGTTGTTGACTAAGAGGTCTCGTTCAATGACCTCATTAAGCGTTCTTCTCAGACTTCATCTGTCTTTTTTTGTGGGACTCCATATTGTCTGATGTACTCTCCTCATCAGGGCCTCCAATGGCCTTCTTATTTATTTACAAACAATAAAATTCTAATCTTTAGGCATACATAACTGAGACCAATTAAATTCTCTTCCAAATGCTTTCCGAGTGCAGGTGAGATACAGGGGGCTTATCAAATAAAAGTTACCACGAGTGCTCTAGCCTTGCTGCTAAGCAGCTCACATGTAGAACTGGCAAAATTAAGTGTCCCAGGCCATCTGATTAAGGTTTTCCGTGGTATTATATAATCATTTATTGATTTATGATTTCAACTGTGCTTTGCTCATTCTGGAATTTGTCTTGTGAAGTCTGGTGTTGGAATAACCACAAGGTCAAAAGCAAAATCAGCTCCAGATCAGTGGATAATGTTGCCACTTCCTACAAAGGTATTCTGCATCATTTTTATCTTAATGTGGTAAAGATAACTATTCATTGACAGAATAATTTTGTGTGTATCCTATTGGCTCTTGGTAGTTGATGCACACCTAAGTGAGGTGGAGAGTTCCCTTCCAATAATGATGGTTGTGATGGGGGAACTATCCCATTTAAATGGTCCTATAGTGCTGCCGATGGCCCATAGTTTATAATGTTAGGTCTCCATTAATTTTGAGGTGGGAAAACGCAAGTATTCGATAAAGCAACTTATACTGCCCAATTTAAGTCTCTATCAATAGGAAATTATTGTAGAAATCTCTATTATACTATCTCCAGTCCTTAATATAAGACCCTGTTTGACTTTTATTTTGGTCTTAAATATAAGACCCCAATCCACTTTGTTTCTCATATTTATACATTTTTTTTCAAAGTAGCCCTTCTAATAATAAGAGTTCTAGTCAATACATTTGATTAGCAAGGATATTTTAGGAAAAACAACACTTATTTAAGACAAATAACTAATTCAACTTACTTCCTTAATCTCCTCAAAATAGTCAACTGGCTCTTATAATTAGGACTGGAGGTAGTATTTCCTTTATTCCATGATGACTGCTCTACAGGGCATGAGTCAGACTTTGATGGTTCATTTCTATTGAAATATAGGGCGGCATATTTCAAAGTTATATGGGCACCTACATGATAGAAACATTTTGATTTGAAATGTGATTTTCTTCCAAAAGCTGTAGTATGCTTTTGAGACGCACATGTCAGAATCAGGAATTCTACACTAACATGTACTTTGTCTGGGATGCCTTCGGCACCTTCTTGATCGACAATTCTGGTCACCATAAAAAGCATGCATCAAACTTGAATTTCTTTAGTTATAAATAAGCAAAGCCTTTCCCTGACTTTGTCGGATATCTTGCAGATAGTGGCTTTGCTGGCAGATACCTTAATTGAAATACAAGAGCAAGTTTTGGCCGGTGATGATGAGGTAGTTTACTCATTGATGAGGGCCAATTCCATGCTGGTTATTGAATCTCACAATTGGAAAACCGGTTGCTTTTTCAGGATGATGACTGGGAAGAAGTTCAAACCGGGGATGACATTGAAAATGATGAAGAATTTCTATCTTCCTTGTCTGCTGCTGCTTCAGGGAAACCCACATATGAACATCTTGAAGCAATAGCAAAAGCATTTAATGAGGTTTGTATGACCTGTGATGTAATTACATCTTATCACTTTTCTTCCTTGATTGTCCATTTTCATATTGCTGATGGCTAATTAAACTTGCTTGAAAACCACAAGGATCAAGAGGATCAATATGAAGACAGCCTTTTAAGCATTGCTGATCCCCTTAATCAGGTCTCTGCTCTAGATTTTGTTTTGCAATTCACGCTTGCCTAGTGCATGAATTTTGGCCCTTTTTTCCAACAAATTCAATTTCATCTTGACAGATAAATCTGGCAAACTACCTCACGGATTTTTTTGGTAACTTGTACCAAAATGACAGACAGTTATTTGATAACATTTGCCAGGTTTGCTTAATCAGTTATCCGGAATTATTTATAGTAAGTCCGATATTTTATGTTCTTGGTGAACGTTATCGAACATGTACATGGGATCTTGCACTGCAGAGCTTGACTCAGGCTCAACGAAATGCTATTCAAACGGTAGTGCGGAGATGAGTTTTAATATGTGATGAGCATTCTGCGGTCTTCCTAATGCTGCGTTGATAAGACGACAAGTTACTTGAAAGAGTTTTTAAGGTGTTCGTTATTAGATTCTCCTCTCAAAATATAGCATATAGATACTTTCTCACAAATTAGTGGCATGTTATTGGATTTTTGTTGTTGTTTTATTTGTTTGTTGGGTTATCTGAATGCTTAATTGGAAAAGCTCCTGGGAAAGACTCAAAGCCTGAAGTGTTTTTTTTTTTTTTTTTTTAAATAGGGTTTGTGGCAAGAGATGGCGTGTTTTTTCTCCTGCAATCAGCAAACTGAAAAGGTGTAATTTGACAAGCTGTGGCCAGGTTCAGCTTTTTTCTTTTCATTTCCTTTTTTTTTTGGAGTTCTATTTTTTCTCTTTTTTAAAAAAATAAATGTATTTGCCATCAGTTGTGTGTATTTATTACATTCTCAGTTATTCTTTTACCTAGGCCCTTTGGATGTATTTTCCAAGGCGTAGATTATATTTGGAGTTAGGATTATTCAACTATTTGAGCCTCCTTTCAATGGTCAGTTTTCCGCTAGCATTGGTTATGCTCATTGCCAATTCTCTTTCCTGTCTTTATATCATAAGACCAAAGTCCTCTTTTTAGTATCAGAAGATCAATATTAGTAACATGTAACTTATAATGTAACCAAATAATTGTGTATGCTCATGATCTATTTGATCTTTTAAAATGTTAGGTTTTACCCGAATAGTTTGAAGCCTCAATATGGAGGTCTTCCTACCAATTGGATGTGCCTGATGGTGATTATTAAGATGATTGGTTGGAATGCTGTTTTATTATGGGTTAATACATTATTTAATTTCTAAAATTTGACCTTTTTGGTCTTTTTTATCCTTGAAATTGGAAACCATAATAAAAAACGTTGTTTTCAAATTTCAGAGACTAAAAATTATATTAATTTTTTTTTATTTTTTAAATTCGATGGCAAATACTTCAGGCCAATAACAATTTTGTTGCTGAAAGATAAATTCATGATGTTTTTTCATTTGCCCACAATTGTCTCTCCAGAAGTTTCATGTCGTGGTAAATAACTTGTAATTGTATAACGTTCTATCTGTAATTTAATATATTAATATAAGAGATAAAAACAAGGGAAAATTCCTGAAAAAGAAGTATGAGTATATCAAATTCTACTTCAAACAGCTGACACTTGAAAATGACAAAAAATGAAATGAGGTCTGAACTGACATTTTGAAAATATTGTGAAATTATCCATAGACTCTTTCATGGTATAAATGACATTAATAGAACTGACAATAACAGTACTCTATTAAACTGAAAATGACAAGTGTTATAATTTTTTTATCATTTTAATTAGTTAATTAATAAGTTGTGAATTGAAAAATGATAAGTATTGAATTGATAATGATAAATATTAAATTGAAAATTACAAGTTTCATAATTTTTTTAAGTTTATCATTTTAGTTAGTTAACGAGTTCTAAAATAAAAATAGCAAGTGTTATTAGATGACAAGTATTCAACTATAAATGGCAAGTTTCATAATTTTTTGGTCACAAAAGAGTATATGATTAATTTTATAATATTCTCAAAATGTCAATTCAGGTCTCATTTTCTTATTATTTTCAAGTGTTAGTTGTTTAAATTGAAATGTCATGAATTTACTTATTTTTTAGGGATGTTCCAAAAAAACACTTTCTTCATATTCATTTTCTATACAATTTGATGGGTGCAACTTGTTTCCAACGAGATGCTATTTTATTGGAGTAAGTATTTCTTTCAAATTTGAACTCACTTGTACAAATTCACAAAGGAACTTTGGCGTAAAGTAACATGCTTGTGGCTTGAAGCTCACATCGCAGATATTAGACCTTTTTTCCTTATGTATTTTGTGGTAATTGAAGTAGGTAATGTTATTCCTCAACATATATGTAGATCATATGACAATGGAAAAATATATGGGAGGTACTTATACTTTTTTTTTTTCAAATTTTTAATTTATTACACGTGTTTTTTTAATTAAATCATTTAATTTTTTTTTTTAGCAACATTAACTCTAGTAACTTTATTCTATTAGTGTTTTCAATTTTTATGTAAGGGTGAACGATGGTAATAGAACAAAATTAAATATTTAATTAAAAAAATAGGTATCAAATTGAAAATTGAAAAAAAAATGTAGGTATCTCTAAAATGTTTTTTCCTATTACAATTCATGAGAAGTTTTATATTTCATCTTCATATATTTTTCTTTTATATTAAACTAGTCTAGATGATAGTAAGACATATTATCCAAAATTTATACTATTTGATTTCAAAAATGGATTAAAAGGTCCAATATATTAAAAGGAAGAGGCTCGAGTCTAAATGTGAGTTTTCCTTCCACAGAATGGAACAACTTGCGGCTTTGTTTTTTTGCCCGGTGATAATATGTAGATAATGTTATAATTAGTGAGATAAAAAATAATCTTATAATTATCATGAAGACTTTTCAAGTTTTTAATCCTTTCAATTTTATTTAAAATTTTGAATCTAAATTGTTTTCTTCACTTAATATGACGTCAAAGAAAAGTATAATTATTGAGTCCTCATAATTTTAGAAAATATTACTTTTAATCCTAACATTTTTTCAACTAATTTAATATTGCATTAATTCTTTGGTTTGAACCCGAACACGTGAAAAAGTCAAGTCCAATGCGAGCTGTGAAATTACATAAATCTCCTTTGCAAAAGTTAAAAACAAAAAGAAAAGAAAAGAAAAGAAAACGACACTTCTTAGTCTCCCTTTCGACTAGGTCATTTAAAAGTTGTTGGGGAGGTGAAATTACATAAATCTCCTTATTCATTAAAATATTGTTGGGGATTTGGTCACTGGGGAACATGCGTCCTCGAGAACATTTAACAGCCATTGAATTCGCATCTTGCGAAGTCCTTTTCTGGAAAAGTCCAACATAAGGCGTTGAATTTTTAATGCTTTCTTATATGGTTTGATCTTTTCTTAAAATTATTTTGAATAATTTGAAAATTCAAGACCATCTGGTATAAAATAGTTTGACGTGGAATCCCGAATTTTCTATTTTCTTTTTAATTTTATATAACTTGAATAACTTAAATGTTTGTTTTAACTCTTTAAGATCTCTAAAATTAGTTCTTTTTCACAGCAATTATTAGTCTAATATAAGAATTTTTTTAGAGATAAGGCATTTAAATACTCAGAAAATATCTACAAGGCTAAAGTATACTTTTGGTCCTTTAATTTTATAAAGGGTTTCGTTTTGGTCCTTTAATTTTAAAAAGTAAATTTTAGTCCTTTAACCCGAGAACCGTTAGCAAAAAACAATGATAATGAGCTCTTAAATATTGATAAAACATTACTAAATGCTATAATATTAAGTTTAATTTTCAAAAAAATCATGATTATCACAAAAAATCATTATTTAAGACTAATAATTTTAGAGTTAAAGGACTAAAAGTATATTTTTTAAAGTTAAAAGACTAAACTAAAACCTTACATAAAGTTAAATGACCAAATATATAGTTTAACCTATCTACAAAGAAGCACCCAACACCTAAAATTTTTTTGGACTCTTATATGCCTTCAAAGTTTTATTTTATAGTATTTCTGTCATGAACCTTTATCTGCGGTTAAAGTTTGACTATTAAATTAACAGTCAAACTTAACCGCGGATAATGACCAAAATATTTTTGCTACAAAAATAAACGTTAAGAGCATGTAAGAGTAAGAAAAAAAACTTTCAAATATTGTGAGCTCTTTCACAAATACTTTTAAGATATTTAAGCTTTTCTTTTTGTTCCAATATTTCATGATTTTTTTCATCTTTCACGGGAGAGTGGAACTTACAACTTCTTTCTTATATCAAAATTTAAGGAAGTGATTGATGTCAATTAAGCCAAGCGGCTTCTACGTTTTAATAAGTCAAGGCAAGGTCCTTTCATGTAATCATCACTTTTTTAATAGTTAATAATCTGGATTCATAACTTCATGTATCACAATTATTATTCTCATCTTTCTATCACTTCATTGCCCTCTTACCAATATATAAATATATGGTGATTATCATTTTAAACCCATTTAATTTTCTATCATCCCATTTCATTTTATTCCATTATCTTTTCCAACAGCCAAAGGAGCCACAAGTTTTTTTTTTTTTTGGTGGTGAAGTGGGCAGTGAAGATTTTGTTTGATATGAATAATTACGCCAAAAAATAAACGGGGCCAATGCAACCATTTTGCTCGTTTTAATTAAGGCTTCTTGGTTTATCTACCCCATTTTCATTTATAAGTTAGTTTCTATATGTTTTTTTTTTCATGTTCATATTTATAAATCATTTTCATAAAACCTATGAAAAAAATCAACATATATAATTTAATGAGAATCATAATCATTATTTTGTTAGTTCCAGTTGATGCTCTTTGTTTATATCCCATGACTTATCGTAGCCACCAGTTGTCTCGTTCAGAATAATCATCAGAGAAAGAAGAAAACTTAAAGATAAGCAAATTTGCTTCTCCTCCCTCGCCATGAACAGACCTAGGCTCTGTTTGGATCCACGTTTGTGTGGATGAAAACGTTTGGCATTTTGTGGGGTGTTTGGATTGACTTTTGGTCAATCTTGCTTATAGGCCAAAAGTTATTCTTTCAAGTATGATTGCAAAAACACTACTTATTTATGACTTATGAAAAAGTAGTTTTTTAGAATCAAAAGATATTTTGGCCCATATATTTATGTTATTTTTATACTTCTCTCTGTATATTCTTTGTGCTTCCCAACTACTCCCTCCGTTCCTTATTATAAGAGACAAATAATCGAATTACGTTGATCAAAAGAACAGTTAAAATTAGTTAAGAACAATCAATGTGTAAAAAGTATAATTTTTTTTCCAAAAATACCCTCATTAATAAGGAGAAAGAACAATGGTAAATTATTAAAAGAAAAAGAAGTGGGAAAGAGAGAGAGTGTGAGTTGGAGACAATAAATATGGGTAAAATAGGAAATCAACACAAAAAAGTAGAGACAACTTTTAAGTGTCTCTTATATATAGGAACATGCTATAAGCATCAAATGTCTCTTATAATAAGGAACGGAGAGAGTAGTTTTTAGTTACTTATTTTTAATGCTCTTTTAAATAAAAATAATTTTTTAACATAGTTTTTTACAATGTTTTCATTCTTTAATATTATTTTTTTATTTTATATTTACATAAATTGTGTAGAGTATATCATCTGATTAATTATGTAATGTTATTTGATTCAAAAATTTTGATTTCTAATTTAAATATATTTTATTCATTAAATACAACTTTTCCTATTATAATAGGGGTATTATAGAAAAACTAACACATACATATTACTAACTTAGTTAATTTTATTAATTTTGCTAAATTAATTATCTAACTCTTAACCAACAAGCTACTGCTTGATATGATAATCGGTCTCACACTTCGTAAAGAGCATAACACAAGTTTACATATCAAGAAGTGTACTTATTGAGAGGGCTTCAACCTTAATGCTTTCAGCTCAACAAAAATTAGTCTTAAGTCTAGAGTAGCTTAAGGATATTTTGAATTACACCCAAAAAAAATTATCTAACTCTTATATTTAAGATAAGAGGGAATATTACACATGGGATTCTATATTGGCACAGCTAGCATGATATGATAATACTACGATGAACTGCCACAAATAGGCCCCAAATAGTTAGATAGAATTACTCGAGAATCATTACTAGTTCATGTTGATCAATGCTCTTTTTTCTTCTTGTTTTTTTTTTTTATCGATCCCATGACTCACCTTAGCCACCAGTTGTCACGTTCAGAATTACCAGAGAACGAAGAAAACTTAAAGAAAATCACATGTGTTCCTCCTCCATCATCATGAACAACATTCCTAATCCCAGAACCCAGAAAATCCCTACAAAGAGGACAAGTGAAGTTCCTGAATGCAACCCATTGATTCAAACAGTTTCTATGGAAAGCATGTTCACATCTCAGAACTCTAACTTCATCTCCTTCACCGATCTTGCTCAGACACACTGCACAATCCACTTCTCCTTCTCCTTCTCCTCCTTCACAAGGACGCCATCTCTCTACTTCTTCTTCTGTAAATATATGAAACTGATCTTGAAGAGGTTGATGATGATGAAGACGGAGGCTGTAAAATGGTTGGTAGAGAAGGAACTCTAAAACCCATTTGAAATGGGAGTAAGCGAGGTTGAGATAGTTGAAGAGCATCATGAAAAGTAGAATAGAAAATCTGGAGATTACTTGGGTTTGAAGAACTTGTGGCTTTGTGTGAATTTGATGATGATGATGGTGAGCTTGGAATTCATGTTAAAAGCCTGTATTTATGATAAATATTGTTACTGACATTCAAAACATTTCACCAAATTAATCATATTAGTGTCGCTTTCTGAATATATTGTCTTTAATTTGTGTGTGTGGATAGGATTGTGTGGCTCATATAAATTTTAATAAAATTCATCCATTGATTGATTAATTTCGTGATGTGAGTGAAGCAGCAGTTAGCTCTACGCGAATTCTTTCTGTTAATTTTTTCAATCAATTTTGTAAAGGACATAAACGTGCACATATATATGAGATTCATTGCGAGTTGATTTAAACGTGAGATTCATTGACAAAAGATAAAAGCAAAAAAAAAAAAATCGACAGGTCACAATCTATAATTAAAGACGACGTAAAACAAATCTACATTTAGATATGCTATTGTCGGTTTAATGTGTCTTTTCCCCTTTTTTTTAATATAATCTTTGAGCCACCCAGTATCTAGCATTTTTTTCTGAATATTAATACCAGATATCCGAACAAGCAACTATTTTGGATCAAGGCTTTATGATCATAATGCTTTTACCTAAGGGTCTTTTCTAATATGATAGAATCTGACCTTAATTCGCCCACTTTGTAATCTAGTTGATCCATCGCTAGGACTAAGCACCTTTGAGTCTTTTTCCCCTCCTTTTATGGCCTTTTTTTCAACTTGAACACATTCATGCGTGGTCTGCCTTTAATGCAACTAAAAAGCATAATGGATAAAACAGTTATAATACCTACCTTCACTAACATGTTTTACAGTAAGTTTATGAAAGCACAATTCATGGTCAAGTTAAGAGCAGTAGTGCAGTTTATTATAGCTTTACCTAAACAAATAAACTAAAAATGTAAAATTACAACTTCAATTTATTACTTCCTTTAATTCTTAGGCTTTGTTTGGTTCAATGGAAAGGAGGGGAGGGGAGGTTAATTGAAGGAAGGGGAGGGGAGGGGAGGGGAAGGGAGGTCATGGTTTTGTTTGGTTGGAGGGAAGGGGAAGGGAAGGGAGATTTCTTGTTTGGTTCATAAAGGGAGGGGAGGGGAGGTAATTATAAATTGACAAATATACCCTTATCTCTATATTTAGACTAATTTATTTTTTTAATACACACACGATATAATATATAATTATAATACACACATGTTATGATATGTATATATTAATACATATGATATGTATATATTATATAATTATATAATTATATTATTATTATCAAATATTATTAGTGGCTAAAAAGAGAAAGAAGTGAAAAAAGATTTTTAATAAGATGGACAAACTTAGAATATTAAAAAATTAGTATGGGTAGTTTGGTCAATATTACACATAATATTTCTCTCCCCTCCAAAAAACCCCAAATTTGGAGGGGAGCATGGGGAGGGGAGGGAGCACTAAAAGACAAATTTCTTGCCTCCCCTCCCCTCTATTTTTCCCAACCAAACACACTTATCCCCTCCCCTCCCCTCCCCTCACCTCAACAACCCTCCAACCAAACAAAGCCTTAGTATAAAAGCTAGATAAATAATTTGAAGATACGAAAAAAATTAGTTAAATTGATTGTTTGTGAAAAATGTGTATTGGTCTCCTTAACCTATCATCTTTAACTATGTGCATAAATGATTAGAATTTCCTGTTGTGGGAATCCTTTACAATCAATAGGGATATTTAAAAAAAAAAAGATAGAAAATAAAATGGATTGAGATCTTATTCTTAGAACCAAATTCAAACTTCTAATTAACTCTTATATTAAGTATAAGCAATAGTATTATTCTCTTGCATTTTAGGAATCTAATTAAGCACCTCACTATATATGTCCAAATAAAAAGTATCACATAATAATGGCCACAAGTGATAGGGACATATATGATGGTACGTATACCTGAATTCATCAATGCAGAGTCATGATCGACAAAATTAGGGTAAATATCATTATTATATTGGTCTTTGATTCAACTATGATTTCAGTTTGTGTAGTTTCAAATAATTGTTTTTGGTCCCCATAATTTTATAAGGACTTGGTCACTTTAAGTATGAACCGCAAAACCAAAACTCATTAAGAGTGAGTATATGGACTATTTGCCAAAAACATATATACGTATATATAACTACAGGGATTAACAATGATATTATCCAAAAAAACTGTATTGTTTAGTTAAGTCAATTCCTTTTGAAAAAATAATGTTGCTGTGGACTAGTCAATGTCAAACACGTATCACAACAACAACAAAAAACTATATTGCTGCTAAAAACAAAAAAGTTGAAACATTAACAACCATTGAATTCATATCCTCTGAGGTCCAATAAACAACATAGTGAGACATATCTTGTGAGATGAGGACTTTTCTGTATGTTTTAACATGGGATATTGAATTTTATATATATATATATATGTATGTATATATATATTTGGATGTAGTGTGAATTTGTATTTGAAAATTATTCTGAAAGATTTGTAAATTCAAGATTACATTCATGCTGATGCCATCGCTATATATGGGATGACTCACCGCAGCCACCAGTTGTCTCGCTCAGAATAATTATCAGAGAAAGAAGAAAACTTAAAGAAAAGCAAATTTGCTTCTCCTCCCTCGCAATTCACAGACCTAATCCCAGAACCCAGAAAGTCCCTACAAAGAGGACAAGTGAAGTTCCTGAATCCAACCCATTGATTCAAACAATCTCTATGGAAAACATGTTCACATCTCAGAACCCTAACTTCATCTCCTTCACCAATCTTGCTCAGACACACTGCACAATCCACTTGTTCTTCTTCTCCTTTTTCTTCACAATGACGCCATATCTGCACCTGCTCTTCTGAAAGGATCTGAAACTCCTGAAGCGGCTGATGATGATGATGAACACGAAGGCTGTAAAATGGTTGGTAGAGAAGGAAATCTAAAACCCATTTGAAACGGGAAGAAGCTAGCTTGAGGTAGTTGAAGAGCATGCTGAATAGTTGGATACAAAATCTGGAGATTATTGCAAGAGTGGTGGCGGCCATGTTCGATCTTTGGGGTTTGATGAACTTGTGGCTTTGAATGAATTTGATGATGATGAAGTAGTTGGAATTCTTGTTAAAGGCCTGTATTTATCTATGGAACGATAGTGTTTCTGAGCATCTCAGATTCATCTGATCTAGACCATCACCATAGTAATATCAGTGTCGCTGGCTCTCTGGATAATGACTCCACTTTCAGTAGTGAGACAGGATTGTGTGGTTCATATGTACCCAAATAAGATTCATCCAATATGAATAAGAATATTGGTTAATTTGGTGATGCGAGTGAGCGAATCATCACAGTTAGCTTTATGTGGATTCTTTCTATTTTATTTTTTTATTTTATCAGTGTTTGAAAATAAATAAATTTATATAATTATATGAGGTCCTTTCCATTTTTATCAAGCAAACTACACCAATTTCGAAGTGCTTTTTGGTTTTAAATAAAGCATAAAGATTGAAAACAACACTATTTTTACTCATGAGATATTAAAATTAAATTTCACTTATTTTTTTGCAAAATCTAATGATAAAACGAAAGAAAAAAAACATTTGAAAAGTAGGAAAAAATTAAAGAGTACCTGAGATGGGCAGCTGACACCCAAATCCGTACAATATTATATGAGGTCCATTGTTTAAACGTGGAGACAATAAAGGAGACGATGAAAAGCATGTCACTTAACGGCCACCCCTGAGAGGGACAGGTACGTATACCTAAATTCATGAATGTAGATTCACGACCGAAGTTAAAAATTAATACTATATTCTATCTTTAATATAAGAGATAGTTAACTAATTTGAATATAAAGAAAACTAGTTAACTTAATTATTTATAATAAATAAATGTTGTGTCTTTTAAAATATTTTTATTGATCGAATGTATTGGCTAGAACTGTCACTATTACATGGAGTATATTAGGAACTAAATAAATAAATATAAGAGTTAAAATGAATTGGAGTCTCATATTTAAAATCAAAATAAAAATTAAACTAACTATTATGTTAAAGACCGGATATAGTATTGTTTAGCTAAATCAACTTCTTTTGGAAAACATAATGTTGCTGTATTAAACGCTGTTGGACTGCTAGTCAATAATAACGTCGAACGCGCATGTATGAAACGTGGGAGAGTCCTGGCTCCTGAAACATTAACAACCATTGAATTCACATCTTCTAAGGTTAAAAATAAAAAAAATAAAAAAATAAAAAAAGGAGTCGCATCTTCTGAAGACTAACATGGGACGTTGAAGGATTTTTTTTTTTTTTATGTAGTGTGAATTTGTGTTAAAATTATTTTTAAAGATTAGTAAATTCAAGACCATTTTATAAAATTATTTAACATGGAATTCCGAATTCTCTATTTTTCTTTTTTTATATATCTTGAATGATCTGAGGTTTGAAGATTTTGTTTGACATGAAGAATTTAGACAAATAAAAACAACCTTTGATTAAAAAAATACATTTTAAAGACTTTGGATAATGATGATAATATGTATGTGTGTCCAACTGTCCTTGTGCTTTTCGTATTATTAATTATTGTTAACAGTTATAAAATTGTTTATACACATACCATGAGTTTTGCTAGGTTTATCGTTATTAAAGTTTTCCTATTGCCTATTTTTATCAAGGAAATAACTTCTTTTGCTAAACAATTTCATGTCAAACATTAAATTGGGTTGAATCTACTGACTAGGATGTAGAATGTAGAATGGGTAGTCGGCATGGATTTTTTTTTTTTTGGCCCCCAATTAGAGATTAGAGATACAAAAGTAATATCATCGTAAAATATGAGTGATATTGAACTCACAACCTCCTACATACTAAAAAGCTTTAATGCCACAAAGCTGCAAACCTATTGATTGTAGGAAAGAAATTCTAAAACCCATTTGAAACGGCTTTGTGTGAGCTTGATTTGAGGTTGGGACTGGGGATGGTAGGTTAAGAACTACTTTCAACCTCCTGCTAGCCAGATGGATAGCCCGAAATGAGTTTCAGTGTTAAGTGAACTGATGAATATCTAGAACTCATCACCTTTGCACACTATCTATATTTAATTAAAAAAAAAAAAAGAAAATTTAGGTCAAATTTCTTATATCAGTTAGGTCAAAAATTCTCTAATTACACATGGTTATTGTTATAAGTTTTTTTTTTGTTTCATTTCAATTTATAATTAAACGCTATTATATGCTAATATTTTAAAAATACAACACTTGAACATGTGTGATTAGAAATCTTGGCTTAATAGATATAAAAAAACTCAATATAAGTATTGTATTAAATTTTACATTTTACTTTTATTTTTATAGTTATTTTAATGCGTAAAAAATTAAATTAAAAATAATCTCTTAATAATTAGTTTTGTACAAAAATAATTTTTGTTCAAAAAATATTAATTAAAAATTTTAAATCTAAACCACTAAAATTGTATTTGAACCATATAAATCTTGCTTCTTACTTCGGCAATGAGCATTATAAAACTCATGCCGTGAGTACTGAAATTAACATGGATTCAAATTTAAACCTTAAGGGCGAAATTTTTAAAACATCAATAGTGAAATTTAGGATGATAGATATGACTAAGAAATAACGTCAAGGTATTTCTTTCTATTTTACCCTAAAATAAGGGGATATTAAATTAAATTTAATTATTTTAATTTATCAATGGGATATAATTGGAATTTGGGAAATGGGTGGAAAGTGAAATTACTTAAAAGCAACGTGTTTTTCATTTTTTAAAAAGCATTATTGATCGGCAAAACAAATCAATATGGTTGGTGGAGATGGGAGAAAAACGTGTTTTAATTTGCCAAGTTAGTGGCCACTGGCCAATATTCAAAGAAAAGATGTACCTTGTGGTCCGTGGCTCCGTGCTTAGTTCTTTTTGATCTTGTCCACAAATTTTGATGTGATTCATATTTCTGGGGGAGCATGTGATCATTGATGTGACTTTATTTTTAATTCCTCCCAATAAATTCTGACATTCATTGCGTGGCTAAAAGATCATCAGTAAAATTATCTTATTTTTGGGGGTAAATTATCAAAATGTCATTAGTTTATTTTTTACAAATATATTTATACAATTTAACAATTAATAATAAAAAAATTTATAAATATATGTACATATGAACGTTCACAGCTCCCAATTTACAAAATTACATATTTTGTTAAAAAATTACAATTATTTATAAATAAATTTACGAGTGCATATGTACGTTTTAACAATTAATTAATAATAACAAAATTTATAAGTGTCCATATAAAGGAAAGACCTTTTTATCATTTATCATCAAAACCTAATTTTATTTGATCTTTATGCTGTAATAAAATTTCAGAATTTTTTTTTAGAATTAAATTAACATAAAATTGTGTCAGTAGTCTTGTCTTTTCTTTTTTTTTTAATAAATTACGCCACGAGTATTTAAATTTTAAAACTTCTAATCATATCCTGCCTCATATATTGCTATAAATTTATCTTTTCTACGGTAAAAAAATTTTTGTGATAAAAATTTTAATTTAAACATCTAAAGAAAGTTGTTTTCTAAGTTATCACTCCTTCCGTTACAAAATTATTGTAGCTTAATGTTATAGCATACTCTTTTAATGATCTTATATTTTTTTGCCTAAAAAAATGAACAATTGATAAGGACTGGAGTGACGTATTATATTAAGAAATATTATTTTTAATTTAAAAAACACTAAAAATTTATATTTATAATTTCAAAAAGTTAAAAATAAAAAAATTTAAAAATATAAGAATTTGGAACCTCTAATTCTAATACCAGGTCTTGTTGGTCAAACATATCAACTAGCTAATATTATTGTATATTATAACACATTAATTGATTGCTTCCATCATTTGCTAATAAATTTATTCTTGATGGATTATTATACTAAATTCTCGTTCTTTGGTTACAAAATCAATATATGGTCCATGAATTTTGGCCTAATAATTGGACTTTTTAGTTATAAATTAAACTCATCGATGATATGCATATAAAATAATGAGTAAAATACATTGACTATCTCTTTGTTTTATAAAATAATGGAAAAGCTTTAAAATCCCAAACTAGCTATTCCACCCATTGAGATGCCTACAAACCAATGAAGGGATTAGTCATTGGATCTGCTGGTGGATACCCTGATGTTTTATCAAAAAAAATTAAAGAAATTTTTCTTTCTATTTTGAAAATGTACATAAACCTCTCTTGAAATTAAAATATATATGACACAAATTATCCTTACATGCTTGAGATTTTATTTTCATCCATCCAACCAATAGTTGACCATTAAGTTTGACTTTCAAACTTTTATTTTCACCAAAATATCCCTTCTTAACATAAACATTTTTGAACATTTATATCCATGAAAAAATAATTTCTGATAAAGCAAAAAATAATTATAATACATGTATTTTCAAACTTTTTAATAGGTTATAAAATTTATTAATTTTGATTATATTATAGAATTATATAAGTTTAATTCTTCATAACATATTCAAACTTATTTATTTACGTTTCTTTTAAATGGCTAGAAAATATTTTAAACTCATATTTGTTTTATCATATAATATAACTTATATGAGTTTGGTACATTATATAAATTATTTAAATTTATAATTTAAAATTTTTTTAAAAAAATTTTGTTGCAAATATTTATAGCTTATTTGATTGATTATATATTTATTTAAAGAATTAATTAAATTTTCATTTAATTTTTTATGTTTATTAATTTTCTATCCCAATATCATAAAAAGATTGAACAAATAACTACTTGTAAAAAAAATAAAAGATAAAATTAAGGTAAAGGAAAAAAAACTTAAATTTTTCAAAATAGTTTTAATCAAAATTTAGGAATTTAGTATTATGAAGGGTAAATTAGTAAATAAAAAGTATTTTAAGATAAATTTTAATTAAAAAAATCTTTTTAGAATATTCTTAATAAAGAAAAGATTCGTATAATTAGGACAAAACGTAAGGGATGTTAAAATATTTTACTCTAAAATAATCGATACTACCAAAATTTAATAAGC